TAATAAGGTCTCTGCTCTTTGGTAACATCGATGGCATATTAGATAGCCGAAATAGTAATAGTTAATTAAAGGAAAAACAATCGCAAATAAACACACACAACAGGTAAACCGAAACGAGAATTTTCCGTATATAAAAAGTACTCTTTGACAAGAATGCACGAATGCCACAGATTACTACGAATGCAAAATGCCTGCACCACAACCACAGAGCATCGAGTTTATGCCAGCCCTAGACTTGACAAGAGTTTGTCCTTGTCATGCTTAATAAGGAATGCAAAGGACAGACTGATGACATGTTTTTAAATTGCAAATACGAACAGCCAAGTGAAGTGCCGGCATTAGGAAGAAAGAGTGTTTTGTTTGCAGCGCTGTCATAGATTATACACATAAAATGGTATTTATTGTCTCAGATTATTTATTAACTTTTTAATTTAGCTTACTTAACTGGAAGTGTCCGTCACAATCTAAATACTGATAATTATCTCAAAAAATATACTAAGAATTATCATAAATGCCAAATTGGTGTTGGTTCTTAGGCCAATTTTAACATTGTCCTTTCTATAGCAATGGGATTATATCCGTACCTAGATAGGCCTACAAGATGGCCAAAAGTTACAGTTACTTACACTTTTAGTTACATACTTTAGTTAAATGTAAGTCAACTTTATTAAAAAATGTTTTCAATCTTCTTATAAATTGCGAAGAACTTTTTCTCCAACCTAATATTTTGTAAGTATATTAATTAAAAATAGATGTTCTATAATTTCTCAGCACTTATAGAACTATCGATAAAAGACACAGCACATATTAAAAGCATTTGTATTTAGATATTACCAAACAATAATTATCATTATCAGTCTAATAAAGCCCCATGTGAATGGATGAGGGAGAATAGGACACATGACCACACCACTGGGACCTAGTGACGATTGGTGGGAGTTAACGACTGCAGATAAAGCCGAGACCAAAGGCTTATCGTGACGTCCTTAGTTCCGAAGCACGGAAAAGCACGAGATTTTTGGGAAGATAATGGGTACCCAATCATTTAGTTTCTTAAATTTTAACAATAGCGGACGGTACAAGCTAACCACTGCGCCATCGAGATTCTGTCCATAATCATGTCTCAATGGTGTGTTTATTAGATTCGCAAAGGAGCAGAATGTGTTAGGTACACATTAGTTCAACTCTTCACTTACCTTGAAACGTAGGCACTGCTAAATTATTTACAAGCCAAGAACTACCTAATAATAATACTAGCATGGACAAAGTAAGTATGCCAAATAAGTGTTGAAAACCACGTACTTAAATGCTTGAAAAGTAAAAAGAAGCCACTTTACACGCTGAATGGAATTCATTGAACGTTAAAAAATATCTCTAGGCGTAATCATACTTCATTTGGGGTAACTTGCACCAACATTCTTTAACCATATTACGGTCTAATCCTGCTTAATACATCATTGCATTTCTCAACTATTTCAAGTCTAATTGAGATAGAAATGAGGTTAAAACGCGATAAAGCTTCTAAACTCGATTTGAGAACTTTGTTGTAAGTAGGCCTTAACCAAAATTAATTTAAAACAGGAGTTTTTTAATTCTTTTGTTTGTAGTTCATTTATTAATTTAAGAATTGGTATGCATGTAAATAATAATCTTTGTAGATATTTGTGATAGAATAACGATTTGTCTTTACTGCACTACACAACGGCTGCATTCCAATCACTAACAGAAGAGCGAAAGGTTCAGTTAACAAAAAAAACATGTCTGCTGTATTCAAAAGCGCGAACCTTTAATCCCAGAGTGCCTGTTGGAGTGCACGGGCCATGAGTATATTGACTAAACTTTTTGCAACCTCCTGTAGATTCAAAGCAAACTTATTTGCAAGTAAGATTTTAAAACCACTTTGATGTATAAGGGGTACATCCAAACAAAACTGATCAAGGTACCAAATCTGAAAATCAATGACTATAATAAAAACGATACATGTTCATGTAGCTTACATCAAGTTTAATTGATGCATACACATCTCGTTAACTTTTTTTTTGTTAATTCTACTTAAACTTTTATCCGTATTTTAATTCTTGATGCTTTCCGTGATCATTTATTCAGACACGCATTGACGCTGGAAACATACATGAACAGTGTCGAGTTTCTTTTTAAAAGGTTTTATTATTATTAAACTTGCAATGTGTGTATGTTAGAGTAAAATCTCGTTACTGAATTTCAAAACACTTATCCTCAACCGCTTGTGATGAAAATTTTGTAGATGCTTTTATTTTACATGCTAAGTGACATTAATCTAAATCCAATATTGCGGAAGGCCCACGACGGTGGAGGTTTTTTGTGCTCTCTCATGATATGGGCACAGTGTAGAAACTTACAGTGCGACGACGCCTTTCAAGTCTCGCAAAATGCCGCTTTTGTCTTGACATTTATCATCGTGGCGGGGTTTTTATATTTTATCAATAAAAAATAAATATATATACATATTTTTAAACTTTGAGCGGTTTTTTGATATTTTTAATACTTATATTATTATTTTTATAATAAATAACCTTTTTGACGAATTTGTAACTAAAGCAAATAAAAACCTTTAAATTAATTATACATTTCATAACAATAATACAAAATATCAACTGATAAGACTTGCAGTTTGCGTAAGTAAATAATGCACGTTGCTTAGACTTATTGAATGTGTGTATTTACATTTTATTACTAACCTACTCAGGTATATATATGCTGATTACAATATCAGAATCAGGAATAATATGTAAATAATACATAATAGTACATTATGATATAAGTGCGGTAATTTGAGAATTACAGCCGAGGCGATATTGTTAGCCCGAGCCGTAGGTGAGGGCTATAAGAAGGCAGAGGCTGTAATTATCAAACCGCACATATGTCATAAGACGTTTTATAACACATTTGCGAGGAAATAATACTACCTACGTACGTACTTTCTGAATATGAATTTGCACCTTTGTTTTCCATAACATGAAATTTTGATACACTTGACTGTAAGTATCTATCTGTGGATTTTTCGGGCAAGAGGCTTAGCGTAGCCTTTTTCGACTTCTGGCGGTGTCAAATTAATAAATTCGTTACAACTTGACAATATTTTTTCAAATAAAAACAACACAGCGAAAAGAAAAAGAAATAACTTTTTCACAGATTAGCGATGCGCATCAACGCTTTTTTTAGGCAAACGAACAAAGTAAATTAATATTTTTGTGAATTTGTTACCGAAACATGGTTGTAATTTATTGTCAAAATGAATCAAATTAAAGAATTAAATTTTTATATATTATATTTTATCTCCCAAAGTTGATTTTATTAAGAAAATGTTGGCTACCTTTCTGTCATAAAAACACTTTGCTAAGATTTAAAAAAGTATCGTTAGTTTTTAGACGGAACATAATAAGCCGTGCGTTTTACTTTTAATTACCGCACGCGTGTGTAATGTTATAGATTACTAGCTGTCCCAGCGAACTTCGTACCGCCATAAAAAAATAGGGATTGGTGGTAGAAGGGTGAAAATTTAGGGTTGTATGTATTTGTGTATGATGTATCATAAAAAAAATTAAAAAAAATCTAAAATTGAAAAAAAAATTAGGGTTGGATTACCCTTGACATTTAGGGGGATGAAAAATAGATGTTGTCCGATTCTTAGACCTACCCAATATGCACACAAAATTTCATGAGAATCGGGAAAGCCGTTTCTGAGGAGTTTAACCACAAACACCGCGACACGAGAATTTTATATATTAGATGATATTGAAATTGGTGCAATAAGAGAAGCTTTACGAGCAAATGTGTTATAAATATTTTTAAAACCTTCCTTTAATTAAATTAATAATAATATTATTAAAAAAAATCTTAAAATTGCCTACGGAAGAATAACAATAAATAAAATGTATATAATCTGTATATTACATAAACTACATTCAACGTATTCGAAGCAAATTACCCTACCTCACCCCTAAAGTGTAAGCGAAGATTGCTGATACGATAGGAATGTAGTCACTCCATCTTAAACTTGCCGGCCTGTACCCAATATTGTCACAGATGACCTGAGGGATTATTAGGGCGTTGGCGGTGAGAAGTAATATGCTTACCCGTAGATTCACTCAATGTACTACAGATGTCAAGGTAACTCTGTTTAAGGCTTTTTCTCAGTCATTTTATGCGACCGGTCTGTGAGTGGCATATACAGGGCGAGCCTATAATGTTCTGTGCTTAAAATAAATAAATGACTATCGTTATTATAAACTTCTTCCATTTCGTCTCTTATTTAGGAAAAGGGCTAAAAGACAGTAAGTACTCTTTCCCAATATTACCAACAATGTAATAGATAAATTAACGCTTATAATTTTATTTTAAATCAGGACCAATTACAATTAATTATAATTATACAATTTACGGAGAAGGCAAAATAAAAGCGCAGAATGATTAAATAATATTTTTCTATATTTTTCAATTAATTGGATATGTCAAAACTGGAAATATATAACAGTCCTTCGTATACGTAAATGTTAAATAACAAAACTGGGTAGATACCGAGATACTATAGGCGGCTTACCGGTTTACAAACCCTATTAAAAAGTCGCTTGCTATTTTCGCAACAACATATTATGGGCTTAAAATTTTATAACAACGCCATATACAAAAAGCGCAAATAAAATAAATATCTATACTTATCGATTAAGAAAATTTACCTTTTACTCACTGTAAATTTAAGAAAGGCACTCTGAATACGGTATACTATTAAGCTATATTTCGGAGCGTTACCTTTTTCATGCAACATTCGTGTAACTGCAATTATTTCAACACCATGAGATTTATCCAAGATGCCTTGCTTATCATCCAATTATCCATAACTCCTCAATGAGCAAAAGCATGCTGATACACAACCTACATATATACTATGTCAATTAAATATAATAATTTATAATCTACACCATACAAGCCATTGTGTTCATCAACCATATTAAGGAACTCACCCAACACCAAAATTGACCTTGTGAAAATTTCTTGGCAAGCTCGCACTACGAAACCTATCACCGATAGCAACAAGAAAAACATACTCCGTATGAATTAAATATCCAATCAATGGTAATTAAAACATGATTATGTCTTAAGCAGTGTTGCCAGAATATTGTTATCAAACGTTTTTATACTGATAGAAATATAACGATAACCAGTGAAACGTTTTGTTAAGTTTGTTAATGATTCATATGGTTTATGTATATTATTGACACCAATTAGAATTACAGCTACAGTTACTAAGTACAGTAAACATCATTATAGTTTTACTTTTCAAACAATTATTAAGTTAGTCTGTTAGTTAGGAAAGTCGTTGGTTCAGAGCTCTATACTCGCTTTATACTATTTTGTTAATATAATATGAAGATGAAAGACTTTTTAAGTTGTTTTAATAAGGAAGAAGAAGAAGAACCAGTCGTTCTCTATAGATTATGATAAGGGCAGACTGCTGTCAAAACGATGCATCAACAGCAGTAAACTTTTTGCATTTCCGTTTCAATTATTTTACACAGAACTGCATGGGTAATTTTCCGATAATACGTCTCTCACTTTTTTTTTATAATTTATTGATATTAAGGGACATAGATTATTATTTTATAAGTATGTGACAAATAACTTGAGAAGGTATCAAAGCGCGTAATTGTTATAATATTGTAAAGTAAAATCAAAAAGTGCTAAAGTAATGTTCTGGCAACACTGGGCTTATGATACGATAGTTGCCAACAACAAACGGAGCCATATTAGGATATCAAATAAAATATGTACATTACAAGAAAAAATGCTATTCAAACATGTGTGAACTGATGGTGTAAAAGTAACAAAACAGGACCAAATACTTTATTGTATGTCTAATTTAAATAATGCTCTGATCAGAGATACTGTCACGATAAAAAAGAACATAATATGTCATCCAAGCAAAAAAAAATAGTTTTAATATAAAGCTTTATTGGATGTTGATTCAATTCAATAAAACTAAATATATGATTAATTATAAGTATTTCTCACATTATAGACAGAAAATCAACATTAAAACTTAGAACGTGGCAACTGCTAGTTTACAGTAAAGCTTTACAGTTCTGCTGATGAAAATGGTCTGAAGTTCGCTGTTTAGCAGCGCAGTAGGCAATTTTATTTCTCAAAATCTTTATTTTAATTATTATTCGAATTATTAGAATAGGAGACAAAAGAATATCACTAATGGTAGTAGTGCACAGATTTTTCTAGAATAACAGTATCAATTAATTAAAGCCCTTTGCTGAGCTGACAAAGTAGTAATTATTTTCTTGCGATGAACATGGTGGTATCATGCATAAGACAACTTCTCAAAGTATTAAACAGTATACGTTTTCTGATCAGACATTTGTTAAATAAGAAAATAGTATTTAAAAGACATTCGTAGAAATAATGAAAACAACCAAGAAAATTGTACTTAATAGGAAACTATTATGTGCGTGATGGATGAGATGTTTATACGTACTTGGATCCTAGCGAGCGGCATTTCCTATGTGTCGGTATGAACTTGGATTGGTGGTAGGTGCCTTGCAGCCTCAAGGACCCTGAGCCCAGCCTGTGGGAAGGAGACAGGGTGAAGGGTGTGACAGGCCCCTGTGGTAGCGCCTCTTTCACCGACTCTTTAGAACCAGTACAACTGCCAACGGGGGATGGCGGTTCAAGCTTCAGAGATAATCTGAAATAGTAGACCTTTTGAAATTCTTTTCGCAAATAGAAAACAACTCTGTATAACAGCAGTATAAGAAATGAAAATGTCCGCAACTTCGTCTGCTTGCGTGGAAATATTAGTTTCCCATACAAACTTTGAACGCCCGTTTTACCCCTTTAGTTAGTTGTAGTGTAGTTTTAGAAAATCCTGTCTTAGCACACGCCTACATCATAATAGCTATATATGGATGCCTAATTTTAGCGCAATCCGTTAAGTCAGTCAGAACGTATGCGTGAACGCATATTAAATGGCTAATTGTCCAATACCTAGATAAAACACATTCATTTGATATCGTATTATGCTGTCTTTCAAACCTTTGCTCGCTCGGCAAATGGAAACATCAGAACGAGCGAAAGAGTTCGTACAACGATGTTTGACTGGACTCAGGGAACGAATGGAAACAACGCATCATTGTGTTGAGCATTCCTTTTACGAAGCGAACAAAGGTTTGCTTGCTCTGAACCAGGAGGCCTACTCTATTTCAAGGAAAAACGAAATTTCGCACGTTCCTTAATCTGTTTCCTTTTCATTTCGAAAATTCGTTTGTCCGAAATAGTTTGACAATTAAACTTTCCAAGCCTACTCTGATTCACAAAACTTTCGAAGGAAAAGTTGAATTTGACAGATAATTGTTCGAAATTTTAACCTCAAATTGACGAAATGAAAAGTATTACCTTTTCATTTTCGTTTTGAGATTTTTTTTTTAATTAAGCCTAAAATACTTGCAAGAGTATTTTTAATAATAGCTGCTTAGCACGAAAAACATTTTAAGCATGTAAAATTAGCAAATAAACAATTTTTTTAGTTTTTATTGTAATTTCGATACTTCAAAGTATTAAACGACAAATTTAGGTTGAGATACAGTAGATTGTTGATACAATTAGTATTTTTAATAATAGCTGCTTAGCACGAAAAACATTTTAAGCATGTAAAATTAGCAAATAAACCATTTTTTTAGTTTTTATTGTAATTTCGATACTTCAAAGTATTAAACGACAAATTTAGGTTGACATACAGTAGATTGCATCAACTCTACAAATTAGTCGGCTAACACTGTTAAAAGATGGTTCTTTCAATGTCATCAAAAAAATTGCCGTAAACTACCTATATTGTTTCGAAGTAAAAAAACGTTTTCTTAAAAGTAGAGATAAAAAGAATTCACAAACATGACTCATTCCATTCGTTCACGAAAACTGTTTATGGTTCCGAAGTTATTGTGCCTGTTCGAAAATGAAATAGAGTAGAGTCAATGGCGAAATTTCGTTTAAAATTCGTTCGTTACCGAAATTTCGTTTCGGAGAAAGAGAGTAAAGCTCCAGTTCTGAGCACTTGGTGGAAAGTGGAAACGCATCATTATACGAACAAATTGAGGAGTCACTTGTCATTCAAATTCATATTTAAACGTCTACCCAAAAAAAGAGTGTAATGTTGTTGATGTTAGTCATCCAACTTTTCTCTTTGATCGGCTAAGAATTTATTTCGCAGATAAGTTTTATCCGTTTATTAAAAAATCAACCTTTCTATGAAAACTTAACAGCGACCTTACTGGACGTAAGAACAAACTCGCTTCTTCCATACAAAATTTGACGATGACGATACGATTACGAAGCAGCAAAATTCGTGCTTCTTTTTCTGCTCAGGCCTGTCGTGGAAGGGCGCTTAACGTTATACCGCTTTTTTTTGAGTGTGTATGCTATTGATCGCAGATGACCTTTGCAGCGTCACCGGTTTTGGGGACGGCGAGATCCAAACGGGACCTCAAGTCGAGAATTGGCGAGTGCCTCTGGAAGTATTCCAGGCGGATGGCATCCCACGGGGGGAGTCTCCTCTCCGTCTGGAGCCTCTAGACCACTCGAACCTGAGGGGTCGTTGTATCGTCAGCCCAAGAACTAACAGAGCTCGACTGGATGTTGCCGCGATGAATTCACTCCAACCCTCTCTATAGCATGACCATCAAAATGCGCTATAATAAAGCGATTTATCAACATGTATTTCGCACAAGCTCTCTGTATGTATGTCTCCTCATCAAGGTGGGTCCGTTCGCGGACAATCATCTTGTGAGTGCGTGGCCAGTCTTAACGAATACACCCCAGGAGTCCCAGATACCTTCTTCTTGTTCTCCCGGCGGCTGCAGGATGCGTAAGGACATTTCCCAAACACAAAAAAAGGCCCGCCACCAAAAGATTGAAATTAAAGTTATCAACGGGTGATTTTCTAACCTACGTGGCATCTGAGGTAAAGCTATCGAGAAGTAGGGTCACCAACTTTTTTTCTATCAAATATAGTTTTTTCGAAGCTGTTACCACTAAAAATATAGTAGATGGTTCAAAAATAAATAAAAATATATAGTATGTAGGTATGTGGTTAAAATATTTGCTTTATTTTTGAAATGAGTATATTTTTTCTGCTCTATAATATATATAATATAATATCTATAATAATAATTCAGTTTTTATTTTTATCAAAGCTTTTACTTTAAATTAAACAAGACGTAGAACATTAATTTAGACGTTGTTTTTCAAAGTGATAATGTTAATTATATTACAGAATATTTAATAAATCACATAGCAAAATAGCATTAAAAATAACAGTGAAAAGATAAAACTCTCTAGAAGAAATACACCATTAAAGCCTTGGATAACCCCTAGCTTAATTCGTTGCATTCGTAATAGAGACTGCATGCATTTGAAACTACTGGATCTTCTGTAATAATCTTCTAAAAAATCCTAAAAAGGCAATATGAACGCGATGAACTTTTAAAAGCAAATAAAGACAAAAAAAGTTGTGGGAAACTATAAAAAGAATTACCAATACGGGAAAGAAAAAGGCAACAGTTCTGGAATTACTGTCGGATAGGAATAAAATTGATTTAAATATTAATTGTAGATACAATGACATTTTTGATAATGTGGGAAAAAAATAGCTAACAATTTAATCTCTTCTAGTTCTACTAATACAGTTCATAAATTTGGATCCCCTAAACCTAATAAAAGTCCTAACACTTTTGTTCTTATGCCATGTGGTGAGGTTGAGGTCTCTACTATTATAAAGAGTTTTAAAAATACTAGTGCTGCTGGATGTGATGGTATCCTTAATAATATAATTAAGTTATGCAAAAAGTCATTGACCCCTATTTTGATAGTGGCATTTTTCCGTCTGTGTTAAAAAAAACAAGAATTCACCCTGTTTACAAGGCTGGAAATAGACATCATATCAATAACTACAGGCTAATCTCCATCTTACCTGCCATATCTAAGATATTGGAGCGCCTTATTTACAACCGCTTATTGAAATATCTTGATTAGCATGACCTTATATCACGCTCACAATTTGGTTTTACATCGGGCAAATCTACTGATGATGCAATATTGGAAGTGACAAGTTTCATCAGTACTAATTTGGATCAGGGCAATAAATGCGTAGGGACTTTTCTTGATCTGGCTAAGGCCTTCGATATCGTGTCTATACCTTGGTTTCTTTGCAAATTAGAACACATTGGAATCAGGGGTCTGCAACTTCAACTCTTTCGTGACTATTTGTCTAATAGAACTCAGTGTGTTGGTATTGGTGGGAATGTCAGTGGAAGTCTTAAAATAGAGTATGGAGTTTCTCAGGGCAGTGTCCTTGGTCCTATTCTATTTCTAATCTATATAAATTACCTCTTGGGACTTCACGTACCACAACGTAAACTAGTTTGTTACGCTGATGATACCGCTCTGCTTTTTTCAGCGAACACATGGAATAAAGTATATAAAGTATTTGATGTGGCTCAAAGGGGATTTAACGATGTTTGTGATTGGCTTAGACAGAATACACTTGACGTTAAACCCGGAAAACCCCCAATATATAACTTTTCCTCTAGCCCCTAATGAATTTAAATTAAAGGTACAATCTTGTGATAATCCCCATACTCAACCATGCACATGTGTTACTTTGAAGAAAGCCGTCAGCATTAGGTACCTCGGTTTGCTTATTGAATACTCTCCGTCTTTTAGGTAGCACATAATGCTCCTCACTAATAGAGTGAGGAAACTGATATACGTGTTTAAAAGCTTGCGACATGTTGCAGACTTTGACCTCCTTAGAAAAGTATATCTATCATTATGTCAGTCAGTTTTAACATATGGTATCACAGCATGGGGAGGTGCTGCTAAAACTGCTTTCAATAATCTAGAAATTGCACAAAGATATATTTTAAAGGTTTGTACATTCCGTCCAATTTACTGTCCGACCGTTCTCTAGTACAAGGATTTTGATGTATTAACTATAAGGCATTTTTTTATATTACAGGTGATGCTTAAGCAACACTAACTTTTAAAATTTGATGCTAATGTATTAACTAAACGTAGGAATTTTACTGTTTGTTCATCATTTTTAACCAAACACTGTTTCGGTCAAAATTCTTTAACTTTTTGGGACCATTTCTTTATAGTACAGTAAATAAAAATAAAATCAATTTATTATCTCCCTTTCTATAGTGTCAAGTAACGATACTGAATTATTTTGGAAGACGATGTAGATTTACTGTTTTTGATTCCATTTCTGCTAATAAATATATTAATTTTACACAACCTCTCCACACACACACACACACTCATATTCACTATACTCACCATGAGAGGTTTCACTAGCTACATTTTACACTTATTATTTTGTTACTTCTTTGGAAAATATGTCTGTATGTGTTGAGAATATCCTAAAACAGCTTTCTTTATTCTTTCTTTCTTTATAAAGAGCGCTGCACCTGAGATACAGTTCTCCTAGTTCAGGTGCAGATGTACTTTTTATGCAGTTAGATGATTGTTTGATTATTGTAAGATTTTATAAAATATTATGTACAATTTCTATGTTGCCAATTATTACTATTATTATTATTACTGGCAAGTCTGTTTTAAACAAAATAAGTAGTTTCGCCTTCTATATTTTTTAGTAATATAGTATTTGATCCTCTAATATAGTAGGATACTATATTATATAGTAGGGTTGGCAACCCTATCGAGAAGCGGCCCGAGACTTAAGCTTATCAGTCTTACCTTCCTTACAATAAATCTTCTACTTCTTGTCAAAATTAAATATATACAAAAAAAATGTTTGTTCATACTTATACTGATCATCCTCCAGGAACTTCTGAAGCTCTTCTATATACCGAACGCTGTTCAAATAAGTAGCTACATACGGTAACGGCACTATGTCGTATTCGGATGTTTGATATCTCTCTAACGATTTTAAAACCACCGCCATTTTGGCGATGCGATGCGGCGAGCCAGCCGGGTGCGCAATATCAATGTACACCAGATCCGTGAGGAATATACCTGGAAACAAGTTATAGTAATTATAGTCACAATTTCCTGTTTTTAGGGTTCCGTACGTCCGTCCGACCGTTTTTCTCAGGAACGCGTGGAGGTATCAAACTGAAATTCATATCTAATACTCAGGTCTACTGTCCCTTGAAGTTGTGAAAAATTTAAACTTCTAAGCCAAAGTAATTAAAAGATACAGCCGTCTATGCCGCAAATTTCCGCAAATTTTCGAAACTCGCACGGGAATCAATACTACAATGTACTTCCCGTGAACCTAGAATTTTGAAATTTGGTACGAAGTAACGTCTTATAGTAAGTACAGATAATTGCGAAAACCGTAAATTTTAAGTTAGATCAGATAATAAAAAATATTTTAGAAAAATTTAAAGTTACTACCTCTTTTCTCATGAACGAGTAGCGGTATTAAATTGAGTTTGTACGGAACCCTCGGTACGCGAGTCCGACTCGCACTTGGCCGGTTATTTTCTGGTCAACTACAAACACATCAAAAAAGTCTCAGCAACAGTTAGTACGGTTTTGAGCGATTTTTAGTATTGTATAATATATTTATACTATGCTATTATATACACAATCGAAACATTTATATTTTTGAAATAAACCAATTTTATTTTTTTCGAAAACAATAACGATTGTATACCTATCTTCTATGCTACGAAAAAAATTCAACATCTATAAATACAGTTACAGTTTCTGTAAATGTTGCGTGTTGCATAGACTTTTTTGATGTATGTATAATTGAGTTGTTAATAAATGGTGGAAAACATGTTTTATGTATCTAAAGAAAATTTTACTAGAAAAAAATCCACGCGGATATTCGATATTCGATTAAGGATTTCCTAGCAAAATTTTCTTTACATTTAAACATTAGCAGTTAAATGCTTAAAAAATAAATAATATAATGTTTTATAAATTTTATATTTATATAAAAGAGACATCTTCCTCTTGAAGCGTAAATATATGTTGTTTGTTTCTTACTGACAATGATTTTAACAACAAGGAAAATAGCTCACCTAAGTACGGTATGCATGGCAAAGAAATACTTCTTAAATATTCCCTTAATGCAGTCCAGTTATCACTCTCTCCAAACAGTTCGGCGAGCTTATCAAACTGCTGCTTATCCTTTTTAGATAAGCAAGCCCAAGTTTTCGTCAATCTTTAAACAACAAAAATATTTTATGAAAATTTTAATATTAAGTTGAAATTTATAATTTAAAGCTTGATTTTTATTTCTAAATAAAAGCTTAATAGAAACAATCAACTGAACAAAAATATTTTTAAACAAGCGGCCGCCGGCGATTTCGTCCGCGCTAATTTTAGATTATAGGGAATCCCACAGGAACCACACTTTTTTGGGATAAAATAGTAATCCAATGTTTCAATCCAGGTCATAAACTATCTGCATACCAAATTTTATCCAAATTCGTTTAGTAGTTTTTGCGTGATTGAGTAGTTACACATTTGTTTTATTAGTAAGACATAGCAAAATTTTATTGCAAAAATCAAACTGTGAATAAACTTACCTATATATACTAGCACTATGCAATGCTGATATCACAGCAAAAAGTGAATGTAAGTTATTGAGTTCATGTAGTTTCTTTGCTACTTTTATAAAATGAGCAAGCCTTTCTGCCCTTCCTTTTGGTGCTTGACTATTTAATATTTCTTGTACCGTCCAAAAACTTACCTACAATTAATAACATATTATAACACTTTATAGAATACTTCACACATTTTCGGTAAACTGCATAAATATTGAAAAAAGTCCAAAAATAAGTTAGATATCTCACCCTATTAAATCTTTTTGTAAATGCAACAACATTAGGAGCTACCGTCAGTTTGTTTAATTTGTTCCATCCACAAGTAGTGAGCTCCTCCGCTTTGATAGCTTTGAAAGACTCTAAATCTAATAATGTTAGTTGATTTGCTATATCCTCCGGAGACAATCTCAATGCTGAACATACAATATCATCCCAAGACTGATTAATAGAAGAAGCAGCTGGTAAGCTGCTGGTTTTATATTGGTATATGGGATCAATTTGTCGGTTCCCGCTCCCATCACCAAGTCTGAAAACAAGTTCTTATGTAATATTGTGAGCAAAGCTGTAAGTTATAAAAAAAATATGCTACAGGATTAATTACCCATAGTTGTAGTAGCAAGCGCAATCATCCTTAGGATAATTTGTTTGATTATTAATAGGAGCATTATCCATTTTCTTGTTGATTTGTTTACATGATGACTTATCTTCTAAAGGCCAGTTTTCTTCATCCTCGTGCTGAAATTAAAATTTCTCATATTGTATAAAAATATAAGGTATGTCACTACTAGTTTAGTGGCCAAATAAGTCCTAAACTAAACTCCTGAGCATAATTACTTAAATTTATATTTATTTTTTCCTTAATAACAAGTACTGGACTTTCAAGTCCCAAGCATGTAGTTTGAGATTTTTGTAGCACATACTGCAATTTTCGATTTTGGGGTTTCCTGAAAAAGGAGTTCATCATATAGAGGTTCTTCTTCTCCATAAAATCTACCAACATTTGGCCTCTGGCGTTTCGTTGCCCAACTTTCAACTCATCACCGCAACGTTTCCCCAACCTTGCGTTAAAGTCCCCCATCACAACCGTGTAGTGTGTATTGTAGCTATGCATGGCTTTTGTGATCTCCTCATACATAGCTTCAACTTCGTCATCTGGGTGCGTTGAGGTCGAAGCATAAACCTGTATGACATCAACTAATATCGTTTTGATATTCTAAGTCTCAGGTATGCTACCCTGGTCGACACACTTCCGATTGTGATCACGTTATGAACAAGGGACTTGTGGACGATAAACCCGACACCGCCTAGGGCCTGTTGATCGTCAGCCTGTATGAGATTAGTATGTCTCTCAAACAACTTAAAAACAACAAGGCGGCGGGCGATGATGGAATCACAGCAGAACTTCTGAGAGCGGGGCGGTAAGCTGATACTCAAAGTCTTTTCAATTCCATCATCCTCGAAGGCAGAACGCTAAAAGCATGGGCGGGAAGTGAGGTTTTCCTGTTCTTCAAGAAAGGTAACAAAGCACTCTTGAAAATCTAGACCAATCTCACTTCTTAGCCATCTTTATAAGTTGTTTTCGAGAGTCATTACGAATCGTCTCGCACGCAGGTTTGACGACTTCCAACCTCCCGAACAAGCCGGTTTCCGAAAAGGCTTCAGTATCATAGACCACATTCAAACCCTGCGGCAGGTTATACAGAAGACCGAAGAGTATAACTTGCCACTTTGCTTGGCGTTCGTGGACTATGGAAAGCTTTCGATACGATTGAGACCTGGGCGGTGAAAACCAAAACCAGTCTCTCCAAAGGTGCCAAGTAGACTACAGGTATGTCGAGGTATTAAGGTATCTTTACGAAAACGCCACTATGTCAGTCCAATTACAGAACCAGAGCTCTAATCCTATCCAATCGAAGCAAAGCGTGAGACAGGGAGATGTGATATCTCCGAAACTGTTCACAGCTACATTGGAGGATATTTTCAAGCTTCTGGATTGGAAAGGACGAGGCATTCACATTAATGGTGAGTACCTTTCGCACCTTCGTTTCGCCGATGATGTAGTTCTTATGGCTGAGACCTTGGAAGATCTTAACACGATGCTCTAAGATCTTAGTAGTGCTTCCCAAAAAGTGGGTCTTAAGATGAACATGGATAAGACGAATGCCCATGTAGTACCCGCTTTAGTTAAAATTGGGAACACTGCACTCAAAGTTTTCGACCATTACGTTTACCTAGGACAGACTGTCCAGTTAGGTAAGACCAACTTTGAGAAACAGATCTCTCGGCGTATCCAGCTCGGATGGGTAGCATTCGGGAAGCTACGGAAAATCTTCGCCTCCAAATTACCTCAATGTCTCAAGACAAAAGTCTTTGACAAGTGTGTGTTGCCAGCGATGACCTACGGAAGCGAGACGTAGTCCTTTACTGCGGGTCTCATAAGGCTCAAGGTCACACAGCAAGCAATGGAGAGAGCGATGCTCGGTGTTTCCCTACGCGATACAATCAGAAATGAGGAAAGCCGTAAAAGAACCAAAGTAACCGATATCGGTCGAACGATTGCTTTGCTGAAGTGGCAGTGGGCAGGACACGTAGCAAGAAGAACCAATGGCCGTTGGGCGGAAAGGTTCTGGAATGGCGACCACGCACCGGACGACAATCAGTGGGCAGGCCCCGTACAAGGTGGACCGACGATCTTGTGAAGGTCGAGGGAAGCCAATGGACGCGAGTGGTGCAGGACCTATCAGTGTGGAGATTCTTGGGGCAGTGGGCGTCGTACGGCTGACATGATGATGATGATGATGACATACTGCAAAACTTATTTGGCTCATAGTAACATGTACTGAGGAATCAAATATTGCCCAAAAAATATAATTATGGCAGTATGAAGTTGTCCGAGTCAGCTACTTTACAATAGCTGACTGTACTATTATTTTTATTTACTAATATGCTCATTATGCTTGTTTTTAAAATATTTTGGTTGCACGAAAATAATCCCTATTCTCTGAATTTACAACCATTAAAATTTATCAATAGATTATTTTTAGAGATATCAATTTAAATTTTGAAATTCTTATTAATTTCTATAAATTGTTGTGTGTTTATTATCAGTTGTATGAGCAAGTGAAGATACTTGACAAAAATGTCTAGGGATCAAGTCAACTTTTGTAATAAAAAAATATATATCCACTGTATAGGTGTTTACCAAACACAATCTTCCAGATTATATATGTATAAAATTGATGCTTGGTTAATTTCCCATTACAAAAACTGCAAGTAAGTACGAGTATGCTTAATTTTTTCTCCACTCCTCCTCCAACCTCCCTCCCTCATGTTACCGCTAGACTTCTAAATGTGTTATTTTACTTGATATATATTATAACGTGTTATAAACGTCACATGAGTTTTGATTGTTTGAAGAAAGAGATAGAAGGTTTCTGTTTAGGTTGTCTCACTCATTTCCTTTACCATAGATTGTTTTAAATCAATTTTTGTCTTACCCTTTCTTTATTAATATGACAATATGATATGAGAACCTGGCAAACAACTGGTATAATTACATAAATTAAATTTTATAGGAACAGTAAAAAACTGCATGTCACACTTACAGTGGCCTTATGGGGAGGTTTTTAATTTATTAATTTGGTAAATTTATTTTGGTTTTGGGAGGTTTTGATTGAAAACGAATTGAGATTCAAATTCAGCCGGCCCAAAACCACCAGACTGTAAAAAAGTTATTTTGACCAGATGCGTAATTATACCATTTTTTTCGCCAACTCCTCATAAAATTTCTACTACTACAAATGGAACCACTCTCTATGGTATGTATGTGCATAACTTGTTCAAATTTGATAATTCTTTTTTTATTGTGTTCATTATTGTGAGGACAGTAACTTAATAATAAGCATATAATTTATTTACTTTAAATATATAAACTGTATAGTAATCCACTTACACACATTTGAAATGTAATCAATAACTGATAAATAGGGTGAAATTGAATGTTTCAATGAAACTTCGTGAGGTTGTTGGGTTACGTGTATAGAGTATGCCTGATTTTTTTCGGAATTTTTGTAATTATATTTTCTCGTTTTTTTTATTTTTAATTGTGCATTTTTATGTCCTTTCCTCTTTTTGAGTAATGATTATTTATAACACGTATTCATAGTATGTGAAATATAACAAATAAATAAGCACTACTAAAATAAACGAATTAAATAGTGGAAACGGCCAGGCGAGGCCGACGGACGCCGCGGCCGGGGGCAACGACCGCGCACAGCTGACGCGGCGCGTATCTACTGTACAGTACAGTAAAATCGTCAAAGGCAATTAATACGGAATAGATCGCTCTCAATTCTGAGACTACGACCTTGAGATACTGTGTTCATACAAAACAGCATCTCAATATCGCTCTCAGAGTTGAGAGCGTTCTATTCATACGGGCCTTAGATGCCATATTACAATAACAGGTTTATTTAAATAAAGAACAAGTGTTATCTTCTCATTAGCAGAGAATAATACCTAAAAAGTTAGTAATAATTTATAACAAGGTATTAGACAGTACTTACGAGACCGGCGATGTAGGTAGGTTACAACGAGGAACGAGGAACATATTCATCTTTTTCACTAGAACTTTTTATCAAATCAATCACACTGGTAGTACACTAATTAGTTGTTTCAAATCAAAAAGTATTTACACTAGCAATAATAACAGACTTAAATTATTATCTGCAAAATTGTTGCTCTAAATCACCATTTTGCTACAAACAAAGGTAGGCACGTTTGCGGACGTGTATTTCCACCTTATTTAAAGTGCACAAAATGCAACTATGCACTACTCACTGCACAAAATGCAACTTCTATGGTTTGGGGATTCATTCGTAAACCAAACCTACTTCGTCACACTCGCGATAGCAGTACACCATCTCTAAATATTCTTGGTTTGTATACCGAGGCATAATGAAATGATCATAGTGTATGTCACTAAATCAAAAGATGCGCACGCCCACGCGCGATTGATATACTTGCGACTGCGCTTTGCATGCAATCAAAGCAAAGCACGGCACGCGGGGAAGAGGGGAGGTGGGCGGAATTCACATCATCAAAGACGCCGCAACCGGCGCTAGCGCTGCACGTTTCTTGCCAGCGTGCGGCGCGCCGCCCGCCCGTGCTTGCCGCAAAACAACATATTATTGTGTGTGCGTGTGTGCGTGTGTGCGTGTGTGCGTGTGTGCGTGTGTGTGTGTGTGACTGTGACTGTGATTAAATGTGTTCAGAATTTCGTGACGTGGGCAAATCAGACACGAAGCTCTGTGCTTATTTTAAGTTGTTTTACAACTTCTATGTGCACGTGTTTAAAATGAATAATTACTCATAAGGAAGAAATGACAATAAATAACCAAATAAAAAAATAAAACATGAAAAAAATAATTTTAATAATCTGAAAAAAATCAGGCATAATCTATACACATAACCCAAAAATCTCACGAAATGTCATTGAATCATTCAATTTCACCCTATATATATAGTAGTAAAGCTTTAACAAAAATAATATTGTGAAAATGGTGTGTATGAATTAAATAAAAATGTATTTTCTTCCATAATATGCAATGTGAGTTATTAAATGAGACAGACAACTGTGAGAGATCTTCAATATATTGACAAAATGTTGACAGTGGGCACAAATAATTGAGATATTTCTGAAAAAAAAATTGGCAGTACAGAATTTGACGAGTCCACTGGTTTAGTATAACTATACTTCTTTATATTAAAAAACGAATATCTTTGTCCTTTTACGTAAAAACTAAAAAAAGGAAAAATCAAAATCTTAGACCACTTTTATTCATCAAACTCTGGAATTATGGAGATTATTATAATAACTGTTCCAAGGTTTATTGTTGAAATGGGCATTTATGTTATTCAAAAGCTATTTTTAAAAGGTAAACAGCCTCTTGAATTAAAGAATTAGTGGGTTATTGGGTTAACATGATAAGTAATAACTTTGATAATAGAAATGTAATAAAAAAAAACTCACCTCTACAATCCTAAGGACTGCTAAACTATCACTCAAAATATCTCGTGGCATTGTCTTATAAATCTGAACATCACAGCATACCTAAATATAGAAAAAATAGTAATATTATATTGTGAAAAGCTAAACCTAGTCCTAATAGGCTGTTTAATTAATAATATATTAAGGAATAGTATAGGTGTTGATTAGTTATTAACTAAGTTTATTATTTAATAGCAATCTATTAAAGAAAGAAGTTAAAAAATAAACTAATGAACTAATAGATAATGACCTTCTATTGATTGTTTATTGAAGCAATCTCATAGCATTAATGAGAAGAAGTAAAATGAGTAAACAAACACTTACCATTAAATTAACGATACCGTGGTAGTCCAAATAAATATTATCATTTTTTAATCCTAAAATAAATGAAGTTTTATGACTAAATTAACTAAGACAAATATAAAATCATTATAAAACTAAAAAGAACAAACTTCATTTTATCACACAGATTACAGATATTTATTCTCTATTATCTAGATAATATAATATCTATGGTTTAGTTGTCCATGTAATCAGGGATGAACCATAGTTAAAGAGGTTGCTTTCCAATTACAGAGCATAATGCGACTCAGTGCCGCACAATGCTGAATTATGCTGATGCTTAATTGGAACGTGAATTAGTTTTCAAATGCACCAGCAGAGTGCGCTAAGTTCAGTGTTGAAAAAAAAAGTCAATGTTTGTACCTTCATCCATACTTATATTTATTTTTTTAACAGTTTGAATTAACTTTGATTGTTTAAAAAAAACAATTTAATGAAACGAAAGCTTTAATACTTTTTCAACAATAAATAATATTACTCACGATAACATATAAATAAAACATTTCGATCAATGCCAACTTAAAGAAAAAACACTTGTTAATTTTCTGTCACTGGGTTGGTACGATTGCACGCATTACACGAAAGCATTACTTTTGAGAGTGCTCAATTGTGCGAAGCGTTGCTGTAGATGGAACACTCAACGTTAAGCATTATGCCGCATAATGCGCTATAATGCTGTAATTGGAAAACTACCACTATATTATTGCGTAGTCTAAATGCAACTTTATCAAAGACAATGGAACGCGAGGCGGTCCCCTTCGTTGATGATCTTTAGTCTACGGCAGGAAGTCACAAAAGTTGGCATCACTTACTAGCTTCCTCTGAATTCGTCTTGGATAGAAATACTTTTTTATTTTTTTTGTATATTGTGCAAATTTTCGTCATAAAGGAAATTAAAGTAATATTTATTTATATAAATACGAATATTTTATAATTCATTATATTATGTCAAGCGTTTAAAATATATTTATTTTGTGAGAAGTGACAATTTTGTTCAACTTTTGTAAACTGTTATGGCGTTTGTGTCCTGATACACAACGCATATTCATATCTTTGTCTTATAGTATTATATAAATACAATCTAATGTGTATCAAGCGTTTTAAAAATTTACTAGTAATCTAAAAACAATATTTTCCTTGCTAAAGTCCCTCAATCTAATGAAAGTGTAAGCTTTTTAGGTTATGTTTCCATCTTTTTAATGGGCTTTTTATGTGGGTTTCAGTAAATCTGGTGACAATTTAGTAATTTCTCGTTTAATATCTCTTAAAGTAATGCCTGAATGAATTTCTCACGGTTCTTGGACTTGCAATCATGGTGGGAAGTGCCGTCAATCGCATATTTTTGTTCCCTATTCAGAACTGCATTCAATCTTCTAGATTTTGACATCGAAGTGAGTAACAGCAGTAATCTTGTAACTTTATTGTGTTTTGATGGACCGAATTAACATTTTTTAATACATAATAGTAGATTTTAAAGTTTTATTTATGTATTACGTTGAAGGAATTGGAGGAAGCTCTTCTGACAGATGGCACAGAAGAGTCTGCCAGCTCTCTCCTGACCGAGTTGATTGTGCGCCTTTTGAACGGCTGTTTAGGCAACAATGACATCTCTGCCTTCAATTACCAGGTAGGGTTTGTAATTTTCTGTCATTCACATGTTATGTTTTGTACTTTAAGGTATAAAAATTATTTGTCTTTATAGATGTATCTGAGGCGTCTCTTCAGAAGAAAATGCCAAGAAACAGGAAGATATAACCCCTTCAACACTGATATTGATTTCCAATTCCTTCCTCTCCGAACAAAGGTTGAAATTCTTTATGCTTTATGTGACTTTCGGTTAGATGCTGAAGATGTTTTTGATTTGTTTAAGAACCTTGAAGCTGAAAGTCTTAGAGTAGAACCACTAGGGTAAGTAAACAAATGCTATGTTTAATGAGTTTAACCGTAATAATAAAATTATTTTCTTCTTCATATCTGTTTTGTGCCAGTTGTTTATCCTTACTATCCCCTTCTCAGGGTAAAACAGTTTTAGCAAATCAAAATGATCATGTTAATAAAGAGGGTATTTGTATAATTTTTCCAAATACCCCTGTTTGCATATTTTTGTTTACATTTCCTTGCAGGTGGGATGACAATGATTCAGCTTATTGGTATTTTTATGGGACAAGATTATATCGTGAAGACATTATAAGAAAACCTAAAGGGAAAAGTAAAAAGAAGAGAAGTAAAGAGAGTAAAAAGAGAGGCTGGTTTTATGGGGATGACTGGTTGGATGATGATGAAACTGAACGTGTCTGGCAAGTTGTTTGCTTTACTGAAGAAGACTGGACCCACCTGACGGAGAAGTTCAGCAAGGCAACAAGCAAGGTTGAAAAAGAACTATACAGGTCATTGTCACAAAATTTTTTGCCTGAAATACCCAGATTGTTCCAAGAGAAAGAACGACTTCAAAGAAAAAGGTATAGTCTATATTAATAGTTCTATATTTTAATTTATCCCTTGTTCCTATCCAATTAATTTGTAATCACATACCTAATTTTTATTTTTCATTGACATATTCATAACATCCTCAAGTAAAAGCTCTCTTAATGGACTTTTTTAAAGTACTAATCGACAAAACTATTACTGTTACATCTTGGCAGAAGATTTCTCAAATACCATCAAAATACATTTCATTAGTAATTTGTAATCTAGCCTAACACAGTAATTTTAGGCCCTATCATCGCTTTCCATCAGGTGAAATTGTGGTCAAACACCTTGCCTATTAAGCACTAAAAAACTGTAAAAATAAACATCAGTCATGACTTTCTCTATAAATTCTATTATACATAACCTTAGTTTAACATTATAAAAATGTTTTTTTTGTTTTACTATATGGGAATTATAAAAAGTCCATAAAGTTTATTCCTAATGATCAAAAGATTATTGACACTTGAATTATCAAGAAGGCAAGTTTATAATCAATAATAAGAAATGGATCAAAATACATTGTTTTTTTTTTAATGTTTTTAATATGAAGCAATAACAAACACAAAGAAATTATCCAATTTGGTGAAGTTAATTATGCCAGTGTATTTATATTAGTCATTTCAGTGATTAATTTTTATGTACTATATTAGATATAGATAATTGCATTATCATGAAATTAACTAGAATTTGCAGAAGCGAATGTATTGTGATAAAAAATATCTGAATTTAGTCTTTATTCAATATTAATGTGACATTAATATAAGTTCTACTGCTCTATGGTCAACAACACTTAGCTGTATGAAAAAAAAAAGTAGGTAACTTTTACTGAAAGTGATTTAAACCTAGCCATAATTATACCTAGTGAGCTTCTCCTGGATTATAATAGAAAGACCATTGAAATTATCTCAGATTAGCTATTAGGGCTATATTAGTGTATCTTATTATCCATGCATAATTGTTATATTCATATTAATATTAGAAATGCAAAAGTAAATCTTGTGTATCTCTTTCACTCTAGCCTGATTGATTTCAATGAATTTCATATACAGGTAATAGAGAGGTAGGGAGGCATAGTAAATTTAAAATTGAATGTGCCAAAAATTTGTGAAAAATTAAACTAACCTAAACTGAACAAATGATTATAAATTTAAAAAGTTATATTTTGCCTTGCGATATTTGGTTGAATGTATTGTGGCACATACTTCATGTTTTAATTTTCTAATACATAACTGGAAAAAATGATGAAAGAAAAATCTCTCTTATTATAAAACTGGGACTTAAGAAACAGTTACTTTAAATCTTTTATTCATAATATGAGGAGCTCGATGGCGCAGGTGGTTAGCGCGTTCGTTTGCGATCGTTGAAGTTAAGCAACTTTCGCAGTGATCGGTCATTGGATGGGTGATCAAAAATCTTCTATCTCGAGTTCCTCTATGCTTCGGAAGGCACGTTAAGCCGTTGGTCCCGGCTGCATCTGCAGTCGTTAGCACCCGGGCCCAGTGCGGATTGGCGAATCCGCACTGGGCCCGCGTGGTGTGTCATGGCCCAATTTCCTATTCTATCCATAGGGAAGGCCTGTGCTCCAGCACTGGGAACATTAATAGGCTAATGATGTTGATGAAATATTTTATTAATAAACTAATTTCAGGCATTGAATGGGCACTAGGTTTCTGTCTTGTTTCTAGCAAAGAGGTTTTATAATAATATATTGTTATAAGAGAGTTAAAGGTTATCAACAATAGAGCCTATGCGACTAACTTGTGAACTGTTCTGGCTCTTGCTATAGCTGTATTAAATGCCTTCAAATGTATGCATACCCAGCCGAGCGAATTATGTGGTTCTGGCATCTTCAATCTTTATTTTTCCAAAGAGCAAAGCTGTTTTTTAATGTATTACATTGAAATTTTAACTGCATTGCAGTTGATTTAAATATGTTGAAATATATTACTATATAGGTTTTTTAGATAAAAGTGATCATAAAGTGAATTTCAGCAATAAAAATTATATCATATTAGCTGTGCCCGCGGCTTATTAGAGATATTTTCCCAGAGTAAATTCTAGCCTATGTGTTAATCCAGGGTGTCAGCTAATTCCATACCAAATTTTGTTAAAATTGCTCCATCCATTGAGACATGAAGAAGTAACAAACATACTCACACACATACTAGCCTTTATAATATTAGTGTGATATAACTAAATTTATAAATGCGAAAGTAAGTATGTTTATTTGTTTGTTATGCTTTCATGACTAAACCACCGAAGCTATTATGCTAAATTTGGAATTTGAAACCTGGAGATGGTTATGGGTGAATGGGGTGAAATTTTGTATGAGCAACTAATTAAACCATGCGACCGAAGTTGCTGGTACCTACAAGAATTTTATAATATTTTATTTAAAAAACGCGCCTGATGGTGAGACACGACCCTATCCCCTTGCCCTGGAACCTCACTCAAGAACTTAAAAACAAAACCCACCAAAAGTGTTATTTTGCTGTTTATAATGAAGACAAACTGTACTAGTGAGCTGTGCTTTGAGATGCTGTTATGTCTCTAAATATAATATATAATTAATATAACTTTATAATTAAATATGAATCGCCGAAATATATGTAAGCGCATAACTCCCGATCGACTACATCAAATTGGATAATTATTTTTTTTATTGTCAAGACTTTTAAACAAAGTAAATAGGTTAAATTTAAGCAAATTCAAACGATAAAAATACGGCATGCAATTCAACTGGTTAACTCGTTATAAATATAGGATTAAGATTTGTTTACCGTAAGATGTTTAAATAAGTTTGTTATAAATATTAGTAACTAAAATAGTTTAACCACTTAAATACATTTAAGGTTGTTAGAACTAGCACCACGGCGAACATCTAGTCGTGTTCTGCAAAAAATCAAAGAAAAAGAAGAGGTGAAGCAAAACACGCATGACATTAAAGAAGAAGAAGAAGAAAGGAAGGAAACCCCAGATATTGCACGTGAAAATCGAGCCAAGCGGCGAAACTTACTAAGGTGAAATTAATAAATTATATTGAAATATTCTGTGACCATTTGTTGCTTGCGGTTGTGCAGCAATACGATGTTACAGTAGTTTCGGTGCCGTTGTAAGGCATAAGGGATGGTTCTGTCAAGGGGGAATGCCCAGATGCTTCAAGGCATCACCCTAATGGAGGAAGAGGAACCCTTCCTGCCGGGGGTAACGTGGAGTCTCCTGATCCCACAAAACCCGTCCAGCAGGTGAGGAAGTACTGTTGGGTTTGTAGTGGGTAGCTGCTGAACCAGTCCCAAGGGCTGGCTGAGTGGGTGGGCGGGATTTGGTGGGAGGAGTTCCACATAATCTCGTCTCTCAGGGGCGGGGGATGCGTCACGCATTTTCCCAACATTTAATAATAGGTAAAGGGGATTGTACCTGTAGAGGTAGCATCCCCTATGCCTTACAACTCTCCTAATGTTGCAGTTCATGTAGCATAAGTTCCGGCTATAAGATATGATAAAGCTTTATATGATGACGACCTCCGTGGCCGAATGGTTTGTACGCCGGGTTTCATGGTGTCGCCGACTCGAGAGGTCCTGGGTTCGAATCCCGGTGGGGGCAGATGTTTGTGTGATGAATACGAGCTTTTCTACTCCAGACATGGATGTTTAATATCTATTTCTATATAAATATACTTATATATGTACAGTATATGTATTCTATCCGTTATCCTAGCATCCCATATCACAAGCCTTATAGTGCTTACTTTGCGGCTAGGCTAATTGGTGTGAGTATTGGAAATATTTATTTATTTATATAGACACTCTACTTTCAAACGCCATTTCTATATGAACTGTCCAACATCAGTTTGACAGTTATTTATTTAACTGACTAATGTAAATAATAAAAATAATAAGCCTTTTACTTACCATATTTGATCTACATTACAAAATTTGATAATCTTTTATACTAATATGGTCCCCTGAAAGGCCTCCTCCATTTCCTTCCACACGTCCATTATTTCTTGCTCCAGTTCTGACTGGCTATGTTAATTCTATGTCATCTGCCCATCGTTTGTATGTTCTGCCTACATGCCTCATTTTTCCTCGTATATACCCAGTCGCCGCCACGGTAATTTCCACCGTAGGCAAATGGGAATAAAATTTCCCAAGTGTAAATAATAAGTGACTTCATTCCCGTGTGAGCCCTGTCCACTCTTTTGCTCTTATGGACCATCTATTGTCTGTGATGCGGCAAACATGTCCATCCCTGCGCCACTTTAGTCTAAGAGCATGTGCGAGAGCATCAGTCAGTTTAGTTTATGCTCTTATGGTAACTAAACGCCAAACCTTATTCAGGACTTCGAGTTTTCGTGAAGCTGTTTTGATCACGGTTTCGATATAGTCCTTTGGATTCAGGCCTGAGCGAACTTCCACACCGAGCACAGCAATGTTACTCTATAGCGCCAGTATTGTGCCCTGAATAGAGGGAAGGGGAAGAAATGCCGACGTTTTTACTGTGAAAGCTCAAACCTGAGTTTACTTAGCATTGAACTCAACCAAGCTCCTGGTACCCCAATCAGAAATCTGGTCCTAAGCCTGATTGAATTCAATGAGAAGATCGTCCCGTTTCTCTTTAGTTTCTGTCTGTCCAGCCGCGACGGAAGTTCACCGGCATTTACTGACATGAACTGCGAACTACATCCGTCCATAGACGCGAATTCTACGCTAATGCAAGAAGTCAGCCACCCAGGCACGTGAGCAGACAAACCGTATGCAGGAAGCTTGGAGAGACGTTTTTTTGTGCCAGATCCTATCACATGCCTTGGCAATGTCAAGGCTGATAGCCAAAGTTTCACCTCGCTTGTCAATAACCTCACCCCAGAAACGTGCCACGCAGGCTAGAAGGGCACCTGTCGACCGATTCGGCCCTAATCTGTACTGACGATAGTTGATCAGAGAGTGGTTTTCTAGGTAGCAGATTCGATGGTTCCTGTAACAACCAGCAACCTTTCTAAGGCTCGTATTACAGAATACAGTTAGAAAGGGATGTCGCTTTGTGTTATAACACATAGCAACATTCCTTTCTAACTGTACTCAAGTAAAGATCAACACTTAGTTGTCATTCTGTAATACAAGCCTTAAACCTTACACAATACTGAGTTGATAGCTATTGGCTGATAGTTGGCCAGGTCTGAGCGTTTCCCTTTTTTGGGCACCGGTTGTACATTGGCATCTCTCCAAGTCTCCGGTACACGCACGTTCGGTACAGAAACAGGTTCGTAAGCACGCGGGACAACTCCGCTGCACAATGTTTTAGTACAACTGCTGGAAATCCATCGGACAAACATCAGGCTGCCTGATTTTAATATCAGGCATCGAAGTGCCACAATGAGGTAATGAAAGTGGCGGTGCATTGCAATCGTCGATTCGGGAGTTAACCGTAGAGTTTTGCCAGTAAATCCTCCTGCTGTTTATGAGCTAGTGATCCGTCTGGAAATCACAAAGCTGGCAGCAAAAGCTGACAGAAGTTTTTTTGCACGGCCTTAGGCAAAAGCCAATAACTACGGGATTCCGTAGGATTTGCTATCAGTTCATGGCCAATATGTGCAACGCGCTGAACATATTACGCGCACTTTACAAGGTTCCAGCTCTTTGTAAGAGGCTTTACGCGCCTAAGCTACGCCTGCCCTCGAGGGTGACCAGAAGGTCTTTCCCTTCCTTCGAGTGGCACCGTTAATTGGAAACGGTTTCTCGGGTACCACTCCCAACCAAGGGCGCGCCGTGGGGATTTTAGTGGGTAAGCCCCCAGGGACACATCTAATGGATTTTCGTTGGATGTATCCACGGAGGAGTCCCATATAACCTCGCTGCTAATCAGGTGGTAGGTTATGCGTCAGCTATGGGAGCCACAACGACGTACTTTGGGAGCTGTCATTGGAGGGGATCGCTTGTTCAGCGAGAGATTATGTCAGACAATGGCCTTCTTCTTCGGCGAACTTATGTCACAGAAGAAGGCCGTGAAGAGTAATCCTATGCGGGCAACAGAAGGCGGAGATATGACCGCCTCATGTCGCTCTAATCGAAGCCAGAGATGTGTAAGCCCATGCCTGCATTGCTTGGCCTCGATTGTTTAGGAGTGATGCCTAAATGTGCTCCGGGTATCGCTCCATCGGACAGAATGACCGGGCTCGCTGGGATGGCGTGGTTGATTTCCGACAAGCAGAAAAAAGAGCACTGTCTGTTCTTTTATTGGGTAGGGCCCAGAGACCCAAGCACGAACTTCTGGCAGGTCCATAACGTTTAGCAGCGCTCCTATCGGCCGTAAGAAATAACTAGCTTTTTCCATATATAATATGACGATACGTTAAGAAGCTGCCAAAAATTCGTGCTTGGCCCTCTGCTTATTTCGCCGAGCCCTATGCTGACCGAACTAAGCCGAGAAAAGTTCTCACTTTTTTTGGAACTCCCGGTGGTAGCAAGGCGTTACACCTTTTCCAGACATTAATAAAAAAAGACTGAATGTATGTTTGCCACCCTTAGCTTAGCGTCCTCCAACTCAACGACGTTTGGGTCCAACTATTACTAAGTAGATATTAAAAAGGTAAAAAACCATTTTTTTTAACTTCCTAGATTTTTAATTCTAAAGAAAATATAAGCTGCCTGGTCCGCGTGGAATTTTTTCTAGTTATATTTTCTTTAGATTTAAACATCAAGCAGTTACATGCTTTAAAAATAATAAAAATTATAACTATAATTGCTATTTCTTCTTTCAAATGTTTAATACTTGTAAAAGTATTCATTTGACATTGTGGGTTTACCTATAATGCGAAGAGATGGCGCTGCCTTGCAGCTTAAGAATAGCTACAAGGAATTTCGACGCGGTCCGTGAGGGCCGCGGTAGCGTAATTGGTCAGTGCATTCGCCCGGATTGCGAAGGGTGCGGGTTCGAGTCCCGTCTGCTGCCTGGTCCGCGTGGAATTTTTTCTAGTTATATTTTCTTTAGATTTAAACATCAAGCAGTTACATGCTTTAAAAATAATAAAAATTATTCCTAGATTTTATTTTTACTTCCAGATATGTAACAATAACAATATTTTTTCATGATATTTAATTATTTTAATGGTCTAACAAAATCACGATCACTGTACCATGTGGTCACTGGATTCGCCCAGATTGCTAAAGACGCTTGCTCGAGACCAGCCTGACACCTAGTCAGTTTTAATAACTTTAGAATTTTAAATTGTTGTTAACAATAGGTCAAAGTCGGTGACATCAGATTCGTCGGAAAACTCTGCAAGTGAAAGAGAAGAGATGCCACAAAAAGCAGCAAAGCAGTCTAAACGACAGGACAAGCGGTCAAAAAACTCATCTGCCACGCAAAAAGGCGAACCACCACCAGAACCACCGGTAAAAACAGGAAGAAAAACAAATAACTCCCTTGCATCTGCTACCGGACAAATAGTTATACCCGACAATGACGAACCTGTTAATAGTACTAGGAAAAAGCTGAAGACATCACAAATGTAAGGTTTATTTTTTTGTTGTGTTTCTTGGCTTGTTCTCTCTGTATTTAAATAACTCTGACGAAAAATATATTATTTTTAGATTTAGCCAAACTGAAGAAGATATACAAACAGATATGTACAAGGTTTTGGAACAACTGACTGCTCATGAAGATGCTTGGCCGTTTATGGACCCAGTGGAAGAGGAGTATGCTCCTAATTACTATGCTGTGATAAGGCGTCCTATGGACTTACGTAAAATGGAGCAGCGACTCGATAGTGGCTACTACACAGACTTTTCAATGTTCAAAGCTGATTTCAAACTTATTGTGAATAACTGCAGGCTTTACAATGGTCAAGATAATGGTAAGAAAGACGTCAAAAAGTAAAGTTTTAATAAGCAAAGACTATGTAGTGATTGACTTTTAATTATTTCCTAATAAGAAGTATTTATTTTTTTATGATGAAAAAATACATATTATTTCATTTTCTTTCAGAATATACAATAATGGTTGATAACTTACAAGCTGCTTTTGATCGTCTGACTGAAAAATACATACACAGATTATCATCATCAGATGAAGAAATAGCTGTGGAGTATCAGATACCAACTCCTTCGCGAAAACATAAATTAAAAACAAGTGAATCTCCAAGCCGCCATAAAAAGAAAAAACGGAAATCTCATTCTGATGATACTGGTAAATATCTAATATGATTTTGGCCGAACTTTGTATTAAAAATTGTATAATACTCAAAAATCATTTGTTTATTTTGCAGGTGAAGCCAAATCTACTAATTCATCTACAGCTTTAGAAGACGAAACAAATGAACAAACAGTCGAAGTCGAAAAGAAATCAAAAGAATCTCATAAAAACAAGGACGGCAAAGGTAAAAAGAAACGCAAGGGTCATCATCGCCATGGCAAACATTCCAAGAACCACAAGAAAGAATCACATCGGTCAGACCACGGCGAACCCACGAAAAGTCGGCATAGTAAGAAACATACAAAAAATAAAGAAAAAGAGGGCAAAAAATCTAAACAAAAGAAGAAGAAAAGCAAACACCATGAAACTGAGCCTGTAGAGGAATTAAAACGAACAGTTTCAGTAGAGTCCTTAGAAAGTTCTAACAGGAGTAGAAGTGCAAGTCCTTTGCCGTCTATACATACACCGTCTCCATCGCCGACGGAACTCAATCAAGCTGACCAAGCAGACCAATCTGACCAGCTCAATGATTCAGATTTTTTCAAAGATAAATACGATAAAATAAAAGAAAGACGCCGGCATGCAGTTAAGGATGCTTGGGAGTCTTTATTCGATTATAAACAAAAAGCTATAGATAAACAAAATCTCCACATACCTGAAAAAGATAAAAATCAAAAATTGAGAGAAACCATAGAAAAATTGAAGGCGAAAAACGAAAAATACCATCTAAAAAGCACTCTGTTCAATAGCTTATTTACAACAGGTCACAGCAGTACGGACAAAACACCTGATTCTATTAAAGAATCTTCTGTGAAAGATCCTGAAGAAAAGAATGATGAGGAGTTAACTGATGAAGATTTATCAGAAGGTCAAAATCAAAAAGGTAAGACTGGAACCAAAAAAGGTCACAAAAAGAATACAGCTAAAAATGAATCTGCATCAGAGGCTTTAGAACAAGCTGTAAAAGATATTAGCAAATGGCTTGATGATGCTCCGAAAGGATCAGTAGCAAGCTCACCATGTGATAGCCCAGCACAAACGATTTCGACAGAAGAACATGACAATAGTCGCTTGGATGATGAGTTTTCACAAGGCGAAAAATCGAATCCAGTTCGAAAAGAAACGTCGCGGAAAAGACCATCATCCCGAGAACCAAAAGTTCTTAAACGTAGGGAAATACAAAGAACTATCGATAGATTACAACCTGGAAAAGGAAAAGGAAATTTACTAACAAATATAACGAACAAGAACTCTGAAAAAACAGAAGAAGTAACTCCACTTGGCCCACTTAATAAATTAAGGGATGCTAACAAGGTGGAAGAATCAAGTCCTAAATTGAGCCTTGGTTCAGTTCTACCAACAGTAGAATTTACTCTTGGTAATGATCATAATTTTGCTAACGACGAACCAAAACCTGTAGCTGAGTCTCCAACAGTTCACACTACTTTGGAAGAAGAACCTAAAGAAGACGACAAAAAGGAAGAAAAACCAGTTGAAAAGAACAAAGAAACCGTAACTATTCAACCCAATAAGAAAGATGCAGAGGTTGGGACTGATCTTCCCACTACTACAAAGCCAAACCAAGAAAAAGCTACACCTAATTTAAGTGCTTGGTTCAAAGCCTTCGGTACGCCCAAAAGTACGTCTAGTGTATCAACAACTAAAAAGAAAGTCGAAGATCCAGATTTGGAAGATAAAAATACAGAAAATTTGAACAATGACACTAAGCCTGCGAGTCCGAAAAATACCGCAAAGTATGATTCCCCTACTCACCCTGATACTCCGAATCCTGAAGGTGGTGACAGTCCTCTTCCCAATGCGTCTGTCACTCCTAGACAACGAAGGACAAGTACGGGAAGTTCCGTTTCGGAAAGGTCTTCTTTCAGTCAAGACCTTGATTCGCCAAGACATCAGATGTCTCATACATCTCCTTTGCTTCGGTCTCCTGCATCGCCGAGAACAGATGACTTCCAAAAGATAACATATCCCATCATTAATGGTACTGTGAGGGCGGGATTTTATCAAGACACCACATCTGTAAAAAGTAGTCCTGAGAAAAGTTGTAGCCCACGAGAAGCTCCTCAATCTCCATATTCTCCATATTCTCAACAACATGTTTATGCTTCGAATAATGTTATGGGATCGACTACGCCAAATTACTTTGTAGATCATAATAAAAGTCCGTTACCAACATATACTCAAAACCCACCCCCATATTACGACACTTCTAAAGTACCGTTAGTTAGTAAACCTGCTAGAGTTCATGATGATTACACTGCTTTAGGTCCCGATTCTTATCAACAAAATCAATATAGTGGTCCCTTTTCTCCAGGTCACTCGTCATTTTCTCAAACACAACATCCTTCTCAAGCAGGATCTGACACTCAAATATCTTCACAATCAACGACATCACAGATTTTGCCAGATCCTAAAAACTCCTTATTTCCTGTTAAGAAACGTACTTACAATGAACCCGAAGTCTCTACAGCTCCAACCAAGAAAATTTCGGAAGCTAAAGAAGTACCAACACTATCGCAAACCAAAAATGATTATCAGAAGGTAGCTCAGAGTCTTCATTCAATATCATCAGCAATGCCAACACAATCAGTTGACGACATTGCGCTGGCATTAAGCGAGAAATCAGAGATTGCCAAATTGAACAGTCTTCGTGAAAAGAATTCCGTCAATTATATGGATAGACGTTCTAATGATAATAGAGATAATATTGCTTTTAATAATGAATCAATACTTGAAGTTAAAAAAGACGTTCCTGGTGTAGACCTTAATAAGTCTGTTAATATTTCAAAAAAAGACAACATTGATATGGTTAATATGGGATATATGACTTCAGAACTCGACAGGAGAAATAGTAGCGAATCACATGAGGTTGATTATACAATAGCGCGAGATGCTACTAAAAGTACTTCAAATCAACAAAAAGGATTTGAAGTTGAGGCGATTGCTATCAATCTTGGCTTGGGCAATCAGCAAATGCAAAAAGCTGCAGCAAAAGCTACTATTAACTCCAACAATATTCCTCCAGCCCATTCACAGGATCGAACACTTAACGAAATGAATACTAACCAAAACATAGCTCACGCTCATCATACTCAGTATGATGTCCTAAGCAGTGGACAAGCTATAAGTAATTTCTCATTAAATGATATTGAGTTAGCCAACAAGAAACTTCATTATGCATGCAATACGACTTCATCCCCGGCTGCATTGGATTACGGTAACTGGAAAATGGCTAATCAAATGCGCAAACAAGACCTTCTAGCCACTGACTATCCAACTAACTACAGTTCAAATAATGTAGACAAATTGAAACCTGATGTTGTAAGTCCGAGCACAAATGCTATAAATTATAATAAAAATGTACAACAAACATATAACAACTACAATACGCCAAGAACAAGTATGCAAAGGTCTCAAGACTTACAACAAAATCTTCCTGCCGAATTAAGAATACCGAATCCACGGGGACTCCTCAAAACTGACCTGTCTGTTGCTTCCTCCAGTGCTGATATTGAAATGGTACCAAAAAGTATCGATACCCATGCAAAGTCGCAAAAAGCAGAGAAGTTGGTCCAGAACCACCCCTTAGTTGGATCGTTACCTTACAAAACACCTTACAGTGCACATTCAACAATACCTCTTGAGAGTTTAAGAAACTTGCCAAAAATTCCCCAAATGTTAGATAGATATGCAAATGAGGAAAGATATTTGTCTAGCTTTGCGGGAACCAATCCCTCGTTATATCATGAAAAATCTTTCCAAATGGCACAAATCTTTAACAAAAGCATATCTTCTGATGTACACCCTACAACATCTGTCAACATATATTCTCAACCATCTATTTCGATCAGTAAAGACAACAGTTCTTACAAAGTTTCTAATAACGTGACAACTCAGGGAGATACAAAAACGAAGACAAAAAGAAAACGAACAGCAGAAACTAAAACTCATATGAGTACACAGAGTTATCATCCATCGCCATGCACGGATGTGTTATCATCAGTAAAAACAAGTATTATACCTGGAAGTGCATTTAATTTTGGTACAACTACCAATATCGCTCTTGGTGGGGGATTGTACAGTGATAATGCTGGATTCTCTATTGAAGATTTTCGAAATAGTACTGCAGCCAATCAATTGATGGCAGCAAATTATATGGCCGCGGCTGTTGCTCATCAACAAAGAAATAACTCAGATTCGAATGCTGAGAAATTAGTAAAACCAGCTCATCAGAATTCAGCTCACAGTAGCTCTTTCCCTTTCATTGGACATTCACAAACTAGAACGGGATATCCTTTTGTTGGAGCTGATACGTCATCGCCTCTCTATCAGCAGTATCTTCAACGTCATCAGGAAGAATTACTTCGACAAACTGGCGCGCAGATCATGGGGCTTTACCCACCGGGCTACCCAGCCAGCCTTGGTGTAAGACAACCTTATGACTCTATAAACAGACCTTCGTGGCTGTAAATATGGTAGCATAACTTTACAATGTGAAACCTTATTATAATCATAAATGTGACAATTGTTATAGGAAATTGTAATTTATGTTGTTTGTAGTATTAACATAGCATTTTGTGAGAATATTTTATGGATAATTCTTATTTATGTTATGTAACAGTTGATTGTTAAAGTAATAAATTTATCAATCACACAGTAACTATAGGCTTTTCTGTTCTATTCTTTACAATTAAATAAGAGACTGCTCTTGGAAGTCTTATGTTCATTCTTGATACTATAGATTTTTTAATGTAATACTGATTATAGTATAAAGTATTCTACATATGAACAAATTACATCTGGAATTCCAATTTATTTCTTGTACATTAGTTTAGTTGGCTTGTCATACTCAAAATATTGTGTATTTCTGGTACTAGAAACAAAGATTTGCAATATCAAACAACAAATATTTTATGGATACTATTTATCTCAATAAATGGCGCTTCTAAGCTGTTAGCTTTAATTTTCTGGACATAATTTCTACTTAGTATCATATAAATTTGTTATTTAATAAATTTAAATTTTATGATTTACTTTAAACTGTTTTGTAAATATTTCCCTAATTTCAATTAGGATCAATGTTTTGTAAGCTTATTAATCTGATTATAATTTACTATAATTTGTTAAATAAGATTCAATTTTGATTTATTATTAAAATTCATGGAATTAATATTAAGATATTCATATAATAAGAAATACCGAAAACAATTCTTCTTGTGTAAAAATGAAAATAAAGATTTTCAAAATAAAAATAGATAATTTGATTTACTCAAATATTATTCATAAGGGTTCAATTCTGCCTCACTCGAATTGAGTAAGAGGTAAGACTGAACCCTTAGGTTAGGCGGCATTATCATGCCTTCATACATGACAGGACAGAGAAAACATCAATTTTGGCTATTTGTTTAGAGACATTTAGATGCATTCACTTTTATTCCAAAGTCGGCAATTCATGATTTAATATGGAAATGGTAATATATATATAATATTACTAATATATATTATATTCATGAATATTCCCAATTTTTAATGGGTCCGACGCTACTGGGTTTAATATTCACATTGGCGCCTGTGTGCAGCACACTGCACCCCTACCCATCCCCGTGCCTAGCCTCGCGCGGTTCCGATTGGACGGATCAGTATTTCCCCATTGGGTGTGGCATTTTTACTGGATCTGAAAAACTGTCTTGTCTTTAGACTACCTCAAATAACTACACACGCCTAAAATGCATATTTTTAAACAGACCTGAAAAACGTATCGCTAAGTTTAGGGCTTAGTAAAGGATGATTAGGGCTTTTGCTTTTCGAAGTATCCTACTATACAAGATTTGCATACTCTAAACCTCTTTGTTAAACCAGCTGCCAGTCTTTTACTCCTGCCTCTAAAATTCCCTAATATGATGCATTTTTTGAGATGATGATGAGCTTCTAAATTAGGTACAAGGGGAACAAGGAAAGTTTAGACAGAGAGTATTGTTCCTTTAGTTTTCACACACACCACTCATTAAGTAAAACATGCTGAATCAGGTTCAGATGGGACTTTTCATTACTTTTTGGTGTATTCTTTTCAGGCTGCATTGTGTGCTGCGGTGTCAAAATTATGATTTTTATTTACTTTGTCGAGCTACTTTCGAAAGACTTTTATCGAGTGTTTTATTCCTTTAACCCACAGCATTTGGTTGTCCAGTACTTTATATTAACTTAAATATATGAAGATAAAGAAATTTACCATCAGCATAAATGTAGTGATAAACAGAAAGCACCCAGCAAACATTTCTGGGATTTAACTGAATCAAACTTAAACATGGGTTATAGAACAAATTTTCACTTTCTCCAAAGATACCCGCTGATCACTTTCTGCTTATCAATACTGAAATATTGGTGATTCTTCTGTAAATGACTTCTACTTTGACTTGACTTTTTGTGTGAATAGTAGAGTAAAAGAAACGGATCATGTATGTGTAACGTGTCAAACTAAAAATATTCATTTCGCAGTAGGGATTACTTTTACTGAACATTTCCTCAATGTTATCTTGCTACAACTTGCAGTCAAAGGTCGTTAGGGGTGGTGTTCAAGCTAAATAATTCAAAAAATAATGTTGATAATAGTTTATTTTAGAAAAGCATTTGCATTACTAAAGAGTAAAAAGACTGAAAACTTATTATTTATTAATCTTTGTTAAATATGCAAGCTATTCGAAATCATAAGAAACTTACAAATTGTTAAACAGATTCACGATATAGGTAGAATAATCCTATAATCATATTTTAATCATTTTTGTTAAATTTTACTGTCACTTTGCTCTTTGCGTTGTTGAACCATTTCTCTGATATTGTCTTGACTTTCTTTCAAATTCTTTTCTAAATACTCTTTATTTTTTTCCAAGTCTGCGGTCTTCGCAGTTAACTGTGATTCTCGGGTTTTGAGATTACTCTTGACTTCTTCTAGATCAGTGAGCAGGAACATCCTGCCTACAGATTCGTAAGTTTTTGTTCCAGGCGGCAGCATACTGATTTCACCTTGAGTTATATCTACATGTTGTAAAACTCTCTTCAAAACTCCTATTTGGGTATCTATGAAATGGATCTTTTTGCTCGTTGCTATCATCTTGACTTGTAAATCTACAAATGCCTTTTTGAGTTCCAAATCCACAGGTAAGGCCATTTTCAAAGGTTTAAGGGAAGCAGCTACGGGAATTACTTTTTATACGCCACCGCTATCGCTATTTTCTTTTATTTCCGGTTAATTTAAATTCTAAAATGTACCTGCTTAGTGATTATCTCTGAGTAAGTATTCAGGTGATTATCTACTTTTCAGTTTTTAGGTTATAATTGTGGTAACACAGATAACATTTCATCACAGACTAATATGAGAACAAGTTCATTTCATAGACTAAACGCCTTCATAAATTTGAAGCTGGCCGCACATACAGGTTACTTTCCAATTACAGAGCATAATGCGATTCAGTACCGCACAAAGCCCAATTATGCTGATGCTTAATTGGAACGTGAATTAGTTTTCAAATGCAGCAGCAGAGTGCGCCAAGTTCAGTGTTGAAAAAAAAAGTCAATGTTTGTACCTTCATCCATACTTATATTTATTTTCTATCAGTTTGAATGAACTTTGATTATTTAAAAAAAACTATTTAATGAAACGAAAATTTTAATAATTTTTCAACAATAAATAATATTACTAACGATAACATATAAATAAAACATGTCGATCAATGTCAACTTAAAGAAAAACACTTGTTAATTTTCTGTCTCTAAGTTGGTACGATTGCACGCATCACACGAAAGCATCACTTTTGAGAGTGCTCAATTGTGCGAAGCGTTGCTGTAGTTGGAACACTCAACGTTAAGCATTATGCCGCATAATGCGCTATAATGCTGTAATTGGAAAGCTACCAGTGTTACACTTGAATAAATCAAATACAGTCAAACGAAAAGCACAATAAACGGCGAATCAATCACAGGTATCTTTCCAATTACAGCATTATAAAAATAAAATAAACAAAAATGACGTCACACGCAAGTAAACTTCCGGTCAAATTGACATTACATTGTATCGTTTGACGTTTTAATAACAGTCGTGTGACGTCACACACTAGTAAGACGCCATATTGTCCAGAGAAACGTTTTCGCGGCAACTTGAAAATGGAGTTTTTGATTTGATTATTTTTACTGAAATACACGACAGAATGATGAATATCCACTTTTTACGGACTCCATAAACATCAGTCAATAACGTGAGATCGTTGCCTAAAACTTGTCAAATACCCTATGGAACGTTTTAGAAGGTTTGATATGATTTAACAAGATGGCGTTGCCATCAATATGAGGCGCTTATCCAAATTTTTAAAGGTATCGATACTTGCCAAAAAGTACTTATTTAGCACAGACATATAACTAGTAGCAGACGGAACATTCAGTTTTAAACAGCGTGGCAAATACACACACATTGAAACTCACCAAAGCATGGGCCGCATTTAGTATAGTAGAATAATGGATTTCATTATTGTTTCATTAAATACCTATCCGAATAGATAGATCCTAATGTGACGTCCATGCTAATAATATTATAAACGTAAATTGCGAATTTAGCCAGGCGAAATCGCTGAACCGATAATGATGAAATTGAGCACGGAGATAGAAAGGACATAGGTACAATTAGGAAAATTGAAATAAAAATTTAAGGCATAGTTTTTATTTATTTATTTTGAAATAATACAAGATTTTTAAAAAAATTCTCTGAGATACATTTGTTTCTTTACATTGATGTTTACATCTAAGATCAAAATAAAATTTGACAACAACTTTAATAAGCAAGTGGACATGGTTTATGTCATGATCTGATTGTTCGAGTCAAATATTGAATAATCGACATAATCACATATGAATTTAATCAAACTATTAAAAATCATTACTTTAGTTTATTTTAAAACAAAAAACACTTAAAAAACTAAGTTGGTTGCCAATCCTGACGTTTCATATATTTTAACCATGCATTCCAAGTACTTTCATCCTTTGAAAACCTAGAACAAAATTGTTTATGTGGTTATTTGGGTTATACCTATACCTACCGATGCCAATGTTCCAAGAAATATGAATAGCTAGTCTATAATAGGTACCTATCTATTTACGTTCTCGATTGCATTCACATTCAAAATACAATGCAATGAAAACAAAATTAATGCCGAGAAACTTTTTGTCTTTCATACCGAGTCCGTCCTCTGTTATGGCAACAGTACTTCAGTTGTCAGAATTGGAATTTCCTATCATGATTTATCCTGATTACTTCTATTTCTTTACTTTTAAGATATTAGTTTTCACCGGTAGTATCTTAGATAATTAATCCTACGTAAAAAATGTTACATGTTACGATAATATTTAAATAAACTTCGAAAAGACTCAAAGACTTTTCAGTACACAACAAAGACACATAAAAACTTACTGATGAAAGGTAATCCTGGTGTTCTATTGTAGGTAGCACTTTCACATCGATACGCACTGTACTTCACCATAGTAATTGAATAATCTCGTTTTGTAATATAGTTTCATCAAAGCTATATTCTTAATAAACACCGAAAAGTCGCATGTCCGATAAGTCATGTATAAAATGGCGGCGAGGAATAAAAATGACACGCGTTGACATTTGTTGATGTGTGAGTCAGTATTGCAATAGATGGAAGAATGAGATGCCACTATCGAGTTGTAGCTGAGTACAAAAAGGATAAAAGATCATGCTTTGATTCATAAATATAACTAGGTTTTATGTTCCGTCTGCTATAGTATTATATGTCTGTGTTATTTAGTAAAATTATCGAATACAAAGTATCGAGTACAAAAGTATCGATATCGAAAGGAAAAGTACTCGATACCACAAAGTATTGATACTTTTTTTGTGCTCGATTCGAGCACTCTCAAAAGTAATGCTTTCGTGTGATGTGTACAATCGTACCAACTCAGTAACAGAAAATTAACAAGTGTTTTTTCTTTAAGTTGACATTGATCGAAATGTTTTATTTATATGTTAGCGTTAGTAATATTATTTATTGTTGAAAAATTATTAAAGCTTTCGTTTCATTATAGTTTTTTTTTAATAATCAAAGTTAATTCAAACTGTGTTAAAAAAATTAATATATGTATGGATGAAGGTACAAACATTGACTTTTTTTTCAACACTGAACTTAGCGCACTCTGCTGGTGCATTTGGAAACTAATTCACGTTCCAATTAAGCATCAGCATAATTCGGCATTGTGCGCCACTGAGTCGCATTATGCTCTGTAATTGGGAAACCACCACAGGTTCTTGATTCGATCCTCAAATTCGGTTCCGCGATCGGATGAACCTTGCACACGGACGGTTGAATGTACTCGGTTTCTACCATAGATAAAGGATGTAAAGATTGAATCGAACCTTAGAGCATATACCTGAGAGTAGAGATGGAAAAAACGGCTTATATCTTAAAAGCGTTTAAACGTTGTACTTTTTAAAATAAGCGCGCTTGAAAAAAAGCTTTTTCGTTTAAACGCTTATTGGCTTAAACATTCAAAAGTATGGGTCAAAAGCGCGACGTTGTGGTGTGTTTTTGTTTATATCGTTTAAAAAAGCGTGAAAAGTTTATTATCGTTTTTAATGTGTTTAAGTGTTTTATTGCGTTTTATGTTCTTATTAATGAAATTTTTGTTAAAAAGTTTAAAAATTTAAATATTTTATATGCACATTAAATCAATACACGAAACGCATTAACACAAGCAAGCATGCAAACACACCGTACAACAAACACGCCGCGCGCTTACCCCGTCACAGTGAAAAGCGTACTGCTTTTCGACTTCGTTTAATTGAACGCTTTTAACGAAGAAAGCGTTGGTTATCCGATCAAATTTTAAAAAAGTGCATTTTTTTACGACGCATTATAATACTTCGCATGCTGTATTAACCGGCTCACGGAAGATGGCACGCCGACGCGGCGCTGTAGTCGCGCGTTCTATGGCTGATATGCTGTGAAATATTTAGTTCCAAGGAATTCCGCGTATCCATTTTTCGATACTGTAGTGGACTAGAAGGGTCAAAGTATGTAGTTTTATGGCATAGACATAGATGGCGGGATTAGCACTTTTAAGTAAAAAAATTTACTTGCACTTTTTTAAGTGAAAAGCTTACTCACACATTTTAAGTAAAAAGCTTATAACGCTTATACTTAAAAGCGTGCTTACAAGCTTAATATTTTAAGCGCGCTCAATTAAGCGCTTATCGTTTAAACGCCCACCGCTACCTGAGAGATGCATTAACGTTTTCACCATTTTCACCATTTTTCTTGGGGGGGAGGTACACATGTATAGCACACTAACGAAACTAAGCAATATGTGCACGAACAAGAGCTAGTTGTTGCTATAAACGCACACTTCTAAAATCACACCACACAAATAAACAGTTTGTTTCACCGGCTGTTCTCAGAAAGATCTCCCAATTTTGGAACCGGTGGTAGTTTACGGTAGTTAGGGTCAAATAAATAAACTCAAAATTACAAAAAAGAATTTTAAACAAAATACTTTATTAAGTAAATTAAATAATAAATTCATACATAGACAGTAAAACTTTAAAAATCGAATAATGAAATAACCGAACGCTCAATAAAAGTCATTCGAAGGTAGCTCGACAAATTAAATAAAAGTTTGATTCTGACGACGTAGCCTGTAAAGGCTACGAAACGTCAATAAATAAATAAAGTTTCGTGCATTAACCCGTAAAAACTAGTTTTATTTAATGAGTGATGTGCGTGAAAACCTAAGAAACAAATAAGATGTAGTTGCTTGGTTACAAATAATCTTTTTATCTGTAATTTTTTTTTTCATTTGCTAATTAAATGTGCAGAGAACTGTTTAATAATATTATAACTATAATTTCCAATATACTTTAAAGGTATTTGATTAAGTTATAGAAGTGAATGATTGTTTTTTTATAAAATCTATCAACATATACCATTCATTCATTTCATTATTTTTCGTCACGTCACTATGAATCTCTCCCTATTAAACTTGCCATTCCGCGCATTTTCTTTTCATTGCATTTTAGAATACTAACTTTTTAGAAATTGAAAATACTTGTATATTATAGCAAACACCATGTTCCAGCAGGATTGAAGTAGCAGATCGGTTTTTGCAAGAGAAAACACCATAGTTTTCCATTTTTGTGGCAGCTCCATCTCGCTATGCGGAGCGATCCAAAATGGTGGTAGTTTTATATAATGCACATGGTCAGAGTGGCCACGTACTTAGGCGAAAGGGGTTCGCCTGCTCATGCCATCGCAATTGGTAGTCTGCGCAGAAAAAGAATGGGATTTGAATTTGAGGGCGCGGTAGTGCTTTTCTACCGTATTTCTAAGGTTTTACCCCTTTTAGACATGATTTAACACAAAAAACCGCAAGAACACACCAAGAAACAAATCCGTATCAATACAATACTTCGACTTTTGACAGATGTCTGGGTTGGATTGCCATATAAATATCTTAATGTTAGTTCCGTTTTTCGCCACTCCCATTCTCTTTTGTTAAAGCGTAGTCTGAATGCACCTTTTCTCCTAGGATGCACCATAGACTACGATAAAATTGCAACCATAGAGCAACGCGGCTAGCGAGTCGGCAGTGTTGCTCAAGTTTAGTACCATAGACATAGTATGTCTATGTTTAGTACGTCCATGCTTTTTTCATTCGCTGGTTCATGATCATTCTTCCTCGTCGATACGTAAATATTTTGTCTCTTTCACATCTCTATTGACTATTTGACTCTTGTCTCTTTCTCGAGTGTCTTGAATTGAATATGACATGGCGTCCATCAAGATATATCACGGCCTCCTGTAAAACTGTTTTAATGACAGTGATCTTATTTAGCATTTTATTACTGAGGCCGTAATAAATCGTATATTTGCATTGATGGTAATGCATGCAAGGAAACCTCAGCGAATAAGCGATGGGTATGATATGATTTCAGATGCTTCGGCTTAGCAATCTGTAGATGGCGGTCGCCGATTGAGTTTTGCTGTGAATTAGTTGTAGGTTTTCACAATTTTCTTTGTTTTCAGGTACTTTGAGAAGCATCAGGCCCATCCGTATCAGGTAACTATGTTCAATGGGACTTATTTTGGATAACAAACAGCACATTATTTTCAATGGCCAGTGTAGAGTTGAATTATGTACCTACTTCTCTACGTAATAACCGAATGCTTCAGACTTTTTCCTGTTTATTATCTTGCAAAATTTTCCATATTTGATCATTCAGTTAATAAAACTTATATTTCATTGCTGTTCTAAATACTTACATAGACATTGTCATATCCCAAGATAATGAGTACTAAGTACAATGGTTTCATTGAACTACTGCTGTTTTGTAGTGAATTGTACGGTAATATTAAATAGGTCATAATATTTACTTGTAATTTCATTAATAATACTTCCAATTCTTTGGTTTTGTTTACTATGTTACTAAACATTTCTTCCTATAAGGTAAGGTAAACATTGTATGATGTTTGGTTTTCATTGTATAGTGTTTTGTGAGACATAAAATTTTATCACATTTGAAAACAAATGTTAAGAAATATGATGTAAATATTGTATACATGATTCTTTTGTACAGAAATATCATTCAAAAAGTGAAAGAAGAGCTGGTAGTGAGTACGTTTCTTCTGACAGCCAGTACACACCTCTCCGATCCCCCAATGGTAACCTATCAACACACGGACACAGCACGCATACAAGTCACTCCAGCCATGGCCACCACCACTACCATGTTGTGGATGACAGAGGATACACGACATCACGGAATGCTTACATGCAAAAAGGTTCTGACAAGGAGAGAGATAGAGACTACAAATCCTCTAGAAATAAGTACACAGGTAAGAAGACCCAGTGTAGTAGTGTAGACATAGTAGTGTAGTGTGAAGACATTTAACATTTAATAATAAGTAATATTTAACTTATTATTAAATGTTAAATGTACCTACAATGCCATTATTTGATTTAACTTGTGCAATAGTTACTTATTATACATAACAAATGGGTATGATTTGTTTGCAAAACAAAACTAAATATTTTTCAAATCTACAAAATTGCTTCTTGATTTATCTATTATTAATTTACAGTTATATATTGTTAGGGAAAATTCTTTTACTGTTTTTATTTTAAATGTAATCATTATTATACCATATCATTGAAATAGTGTGTAGTAGTCATTATAGAAAATTGTTTGTAGAAATAAAGGCCTGATGATTTGAGTGAGCTTCCATAAACTTGACAACTATATTAGCCCGCAGTCTTTATACGCTGTAAAACATAATAAGAAAATGCTACTGGCAAATAGAGTTTAAGGTTTAGTTAATCAAGCTAGATTTTGGATATCTACTATGTAAGGAATGTTAAACTATATTAAGATATTACTCAGTATTTAGAACATTCTTTATACTAATATCTGTTTAATATAAGAGCAAATGCGAGCTGATAATTTAAAGTTATGTGGCGAATGAGTACCTTATTTAATTGGTTTTACATGAAATTCATAAACACCACCACATAAAATTAACTTTTGTATATTTAAACATTTCCAGATAGTGTCCGATCACCGAAGGAGAAACGTAGCAAAGATAGTGAAAAGGAGAGAAGTAATCATGAACGAAGTGAATCAGAAAAAAAGAGTAGGACTAGTGGCATGAATAGTGTTAGTAGAAGTAGTAAATATGACAAAGCGCCTTTGGCTGCAATATGTTCGGACCATTCTGGTAGTGAGTGGTCAGAGCACATTAGTTCCTCAGGGAAAAGGTACTACTATAACTGTGTCAGTGAAGTGTCACAATGGGAAAAGCCCAGAGAATGGGACTCAAGAAGAATGTCATCCAAAGATTCATCATATTCTTCAAGAAGCAGTAAGTAATTTCCTATTTTACTTTTTTACAGTGAGAATTCATTTCAATCTTACTATACTAACTGTTAGTGTGAGATGCACTACATAGTCAGTTAAAAGTTAAAGTCAAACTTTAACTGGCCTTGCTTGGACAGTTATTGTCACTGTCAAATTATGGCCTCATTTTTACTATCTTCAAATGGTGCTCCCCATTTTTTAGTTTACTAATATCTGGGATCTGTGTTGAAGTTAGACAGTGAAATAATAAACACATTATGTTTTCATAGATACACCAAAGATAGTCCTATTTTTGGCTAACTAATACTGCAATAGAAAAATATTTTACACTTAACATTTTCTCTATTCTGCAGTTGCGAAATTTGATAAATTATTGGGTATGTCCTGTTTATGGAAACTAATTAGTAAAGCACTTTCATCATCACACAATTGTCTTCAAAAGCTAGCGATGGAAAACTGCATATATGTGAATGACAGCTATAATTGGCAAGAGTATCGACAATTTAAACCCAGGGTTGTTAATCTGGTCAAAACTTGGTGCTAATTGGTTTCTGTAAATAGAGTACCTATTACTATTTATTCTGTAAAATTTCACCCTTTCATTGATATTTGTGGCAAGCAGTTTTTTTTAAGTTCACTTATTATTAAGCGAATGTTTATGTTCACATATACTAAATATTATATATGTTAAGTCTCTTATAAGTTAATTTAGATAGTTTTATATCATAGTTATATTCTGATATAATGCCAAATTCTAAAAACTCAATAATAAACTAAAAAAAAGTTAGATAAACCGCTATAAGACAAGAATAAGACAACATTAAAATTTAATAATGCTCATTAATTGGAGTCATTTTAAGAGTCAGAATTTTAACCTAAAAAGTAAAAAATCATTTGTTCAGACTAGGCTGTTACAAGCACTTGTTAAGCTACGCCATCGGTTCGCAAAACTTCGGCGGGCGACTTTGTACTGACAGAAGAACCAGCAAGAAACTCAGCAAGGGCTGTTTTTTCTCCTTGTATTGTTATATACAGAATCGTCAAGTTGATAAATGACTTCAGGGATACTTCTGATGTCACTTTCCATTACATCATTTATAATATTGATATATATCTAGGTAATAATTACAATAAATTTTATTCTGTCTGTTTTATACAGTATTGTTAGATACTAACCAGGGAAGCTTGACAACAGTGTATTCAGTTTGAAAGTTGTGTTTAGGCATTTTTAACCAAAGCCTTATTTGCACTTGGGAGATGAAAAAATATTATCTATAACTTGTTAACTTTTTCACTATTTAATTACTGAAGATTTAGAGTGGTAATTATTATTAGCCCTTCTACATACACACAGAGCTCGAGTGAGTTATGGGTCAATTTCTTCTTGTTGTTCCATTATTAATAATAAGAAGAAATTAAGTAGCCAGATACCTCAAATGGTAGGGAATAAACATGTTACAATAATTATATTAATGCTAGTAGACCAGGGAGATGTTGTTCTGCAATGAAGTATAAATTATCCTACTACCCGACAGCCTGGGGGTCAATCGCCTAACGGAATTGATATGACTATCGCTTACGTTTTCATTTTGTTATTTCTTACCGCCAAAGGTTTTCAAATACCTTACGCTCATTTTCTTTAATACTAATGTTACCAATACAAAAGAAAAAAAAAGCATGGGTCATTTAAAAATTTTCGGCGGTCATAAATATCAAAATGAAATCGTAAGCGATAGCGATAGCCTTAGCAATCCCGTTAGGCGATTGAGCCCTACCATGGCTCATTTCTGAAACTAAACTATCCGGGGGCCCACTCGAAAGTACCTACTCTTAAAATTTCATTCAAATTAAGCTGGCCATATAGTAGTTCAATTACATACACATGGACTGAATAATGTATTACATTAAAATAATAAACTCAAAATGATTTACTTGTTCTATGATGTTACAAGCTCTTCTAAACGCCAAAACTTAATAGTTCATTCGTACTTACGAAGTAGACTTCTACTGTTGAGACCTTGTACTGAGAACTTTGGTGTTTTCAAACAGTATTGTCAATGAATGACATCAGTAATAACAACGCCTAATAATAATATTCCAATTTAGAAGTGACATATAAACACTTATTATCAACCAAACTGTTAATAGTAGGAGAGCTACGGAACCCTCCGAGTAACGGTCTGTCTGTAAGGCTAGAAATTCATGATGAAAATTGGTGATGAGTCATAGCATGCTTAGTATGGTAAGCATCGCCTGGCACCCCTCAGCCCTGTACGTCATCAAGCATATTTTTGAAAGTGTAAAAAAAATATTAAAAAAAAACTTGCTGTAAGCTTGAAATTTTTATACAATTTAGTTTATTCATTTTTTATTAGTTTAAATAAAAATTGGCAGGCGTGTACGATGAGCACAAGTACCCGCCAGGTGAACCGGAAGGTGTGTAATATATACATAAAAATAAACTTTATTCTGTAAAGTTGAAATCTATATATGTGTTTGTTTAAGCAATTTAAAGTAAGTAGGTAGAATGCCAGGCGGTTCTAGCTAGCACAAGTCCTTGCCAGGCGAGGGTAAAGATGCTGCGGCAGTGCGAGTAAGAGTCGTAGTATGAAAACTTACGGTATATTATTGAGGCAAATTAAATGATGTGAAAATAAAAGTCAAGGGTCAATTTTTTATTATTATAAGTCTTTAAATTAATTAATAAATCTTCATCATTATCATCATAATAGGATTCTTAGTTGCTGATCTTCTCTTCTCTTCTTCTAAAAAGAATCCAAGTTTTAATACATTAATAATAACATAACATCTCTGACATTGCGCTCAATTATATAGAATTCCATATATTTTTATGAAATGTGTATTACCTTTAATTTAACAAGTTTTTTCTTAATATTTTTTTGACACTTTCAAAAATATACAGCTTGATGACGTGCAGGGCTGAGGAGTGCCAGGCGATGCTTACCGTACTAAGCATGCTATCATAAGAATTTCTAGCCTTACAGACAGACCATTGCTCGGAGGGTTCAGTAGCTCTTGGTCTATAAGTATAATATTGGCCAAAATCTTTTTAAAATCTATTGCATGGTTTAGGACTATGGGAGACTAAGGCACCTTGCACACTAGACGGTCACGACCACGGTCAGACGTGGCAGTAGCCGCTATCTTAGTCGCAGAAGTTACGGTTGACTTAAATTTACGGCCATGACCATAACTGATCGTAAATGGGCCGGCAGATAGCTTGTTGCTTTATTTAATTAAAAAAAAAGCAATCAAAACTCATTGCAGATAAATAAACCTTGTTATGAGTTGTGGAAACTGTCCGCATGACTTGAAGAGAATGGCTGGTCCCGGCGAGGCCTACCGCCTATCGGGATTGCTATGGCTATAGCTTATAATTTCATTTTGTTATTTCTGACTAGGGCATCGAGAACCGATTACATTTTCGGAACTGGTTCTTTCGGTTCCCTTCAAAACACAGAACCGGGTACTCTTTCGGTTCCTATGAGGTAAGTAATTTATTTAGAGGGTAGTGATGGTTTTTGTTAACATTGTACCTCATTTTTTGATCAGTGGATCAAAAAATGAGGTACTTATTCAAAATCAATGAATATTTTTCATCACTAATCATGTTTTATTTATAAGAAACACAAGAATCTTTAAAAATTGCAATGTTAACAAAAACCATCGATTCTTAAATTCTGAAATTAATAACAATTAGTTCAGTTCACAGTATTCATCAATCAAATCAGATTGGATATGTTTTTGAAAAAAAAAATATTTTTAGTGGGGGATCTTTTAAAGGTTTTGACCACTTTTCGAACTTTAGATATAAAATCATGATATCTGAATGACTGTTGAGGTCTGGATTCTGGAATAAGCGACTCGTTGTTGAAACGGGCGCCATCTTCTACATCATTTTCTTCTATGTCATTGTCGCTATTGTCAATTTCGTTACTAATTTCTCCTCTTCGCATAAGTAAGGCTATTTCAGCTAGAGTCATATTGTCTTCGATATCATTTTCTTGGTCGTCTGCTACACGCGGCAAATTGGTGTCATCGTCAGTCTTCATTGCGTTTGTACATAACATCCATGATTGCCAGTTGAATGGCGTGAGCAATACATAACTGATGGCAAGACTCCAGAATATTTACCAAATGCAACCATTAGGCTACAACCATCAGATGTCTGGGCGACAATATCTGTGCCTAAGCGTAATCTATATTCATCTAACTTGGATTGGATTAATTGGACGCATTTTTCTGCATTCGTGGAACCGTTCATTCTAATTAGTCCCAAGTTATCAAATGCACATTCTCTTAAAAATTTTGGTGAATGCAGTATTAAACTAGATTTAGGCTTTGGATACGAGACTTTAGAGCTTGCGTGAGTAAACAAAATGTTTTAAAACAATAACCGAAAGAACCGTGAGAATCTCCCAGAACCGGGTTTTCCCGGTTCTTTCGGTTCCGGGTAGAACCGGTTCCGATGCCCTATTTCTGACCGCTGAAGGTTATCAAAGGCCTCGCGCTCTTTTTTTTCTTTTGTATTGGTAATAACAATATTAAAGAAAATGAAGCGTTCAGAAATAACAAAATGAAATCATAAGTTATAACCAAAGCAATGCTGATAGGGGGTAGGCCCCCAGGCTGCATTCGTGCTTTCATGTTTAGTGCGCGTGTGCTCATATCAAATAGGCTAGTTGACTCACGTCAAATTGCAATATGTTTATTTCTTATAATTTTTGGTATGAGGAACCTAAATACATCGATTTCACTTCATAAAATTAGAAGATGTCTGTAGTAATTTAATTTTATAAAATAGTTTTTTAGTCTATGCATTTTAAACACTGAAAACGCTGTCCACCATGATTGTGACGACACAAAATTTGTAAACAAATAAATGTGATTGTTGTGTTACTGTGGTATATTTCGTTGGACTAAAATATATCTAAAACTCTTATATCGATCGATTTGTGAAAGCAGAAACGACAAAACCATTTG